AAATAGAGTTACATGTGTCACTTCTCATGTCTGACTTGTTTCACTTAGCAAAGTGTGCTCAAGGGTTATCCATGCTGCAGTCTGTGTCATCCTGTGTCTGTGTTTAAGGCTGAGTAGCCTTCCATCAGTGGATACCCACATTCGTTTGTCCGCGCACCAGCTGCTGGAGTGTTGCTTGTCTCTCCTTTTTGACTGTTATGAGCAAAGCTCTTGTGAACATTCGTGGAGACATATGTCTTCATCTCCCTTAGGAACACATCTAGGGTAGTTGCTGGGTTTCTGATAACTGATTTAAAATCTGGAGAAACCGCCACACTCTTCTAAAGCAGTGTATTCCCCTGTGCCCCTCTACCATTGCTGAGGGCATTCTGGTCTCTCTACATTCTTGATAGCTCTAGTTATTTGGTTTAAAAAATAATCTGTTTTATTATAGCTATTCTAGTAGCTGTGCAGTGTGACTCAGTGGATGTGAGGTCTTTTACTTCTTTTTCCCCTTTCTCATTAAACTTTTCTTTTTAAGCGATTTTTAAAATTTGTGATACATTTTTGATCAAGTTATTTCCAATAAGAGTCATGACTAAAAACAAACAGCAGTAATGACTTAAAACTTCCATCTATACTCAAACAAGCGTCCACATGGCAGTCTTTTTTTCTGAAGGCTTTCCAGTCCGGTCTTCTATGAGATGTTCTCTTTCCACCGACTGGGTAACAAGTGTTAGGGATGATGCTTGGCCTGGGCATAGTTGGTGGCCTTCCTAGCCCCGTCACCTTTTTGGAGCAGAGTTAGAGAAGCGTCTTAACACACACAGAATTGCTGGGGACCTTACCGATGGCAGCTGTACCAGCTTCCTGGAACCGAGGACTGCCTTCTAGCTTTGTTCAGAATGTTGAGTCGTCTTCCCTTCAGCAAACTTGCAGAGTCCAGTAGAGGGGCAGAGCCTGCAGTGATTTGGCCTGGATGGTTCAGGATAGTGATGAGCAGTGGAGGATAAACATTTTGATGGACAGCTCTCTTAGGAAGAGCTTCACTCAAAGCCTCACGGTGCATTTCAGCACACTACTTCAGTTGTGACAGTGGCTGGAGAAAGCCAGCCACTGTACGGTGAGGACAATGACTTCCCTCAGCTCACAGGGACTATACAACACCACCAGTTTTGTAAACGTCTTTGAAGGGGAGGCACAAGGCGTTCAGCTGGACAAGTTGATGGCAGGGTACAGTCTGTAACTGGTCTGGTTCCATTTGCATTGCCACCGTGAGTGACATTCCATTCTGTGAATCAAGGCATGTTGGCACTTGACTTAGACCAGGAATTTGGCCCAAATGCTACAGTGTGAGGGTGTTGGTTTATTTCTTAGTGTAAATACTACCTTCCTAAAAAGAGCTTTGTTCCTCTCCTGGCTAAAGGGAGGAACAGTTAGTTGTTTCACACTGAGTGTATAAGCTAGAAGGTATGTTCATGTCATGTGCCTGCCTGCTTCTTTTTTTTTTAATTTCAAGACAGGGTTTTCTCTGTGTAGCAATGATTGTCCTGGAACTCACTCTGTAGACCAAGCTGGCCTTGAACTCAGAGATGCATCTTCTTCTCAAGTGCTGGATTTAAAGGCGTGTGCCACCATCATCCAGTGGTCTGTCAGATTTTTGAGAGACCAGCTTTAAACTTGCCATCTGCAGCACCAACAGTCAAGACAGCATAAGCAGTCTGTAATGGTGCACCTGTCATCTTTTTTTTTTTTTAATAGAAGTCTATGCTCTGGGGCATCAGTGATAGTCACTTAATATTTTTGCAGGTCTCCAAAGTCCACAGGAGATTTCACTGGTTGTTGATGGGGTTTCTGTCCTGCCTGGTTCCCACAATTATGTCCCAAAGAAATCACACCGAGGCTTACATTAGTTATAAACTGGTTGGCCCATTAGCTCAGGCATCTTGTTAACTCTTATAACTTATATTAGCCCATTATTCTAGTATATGTTAGCCACATGGCTCAGTATCTTTTTCAGCAATGCAGTCACATCTTGCTTCTTCTGTGTCTGTGCCGGGACTGCCGAGGAGTGGGTTTCCTCCTTCCCAGAATTCTCCTGTTCTCATTGACCCACCTCTACTTACTGTCTGGTTGTCCCACCTATGCTTCCTGCCTGGCTACTGGCCAATCAGCGTTTATTTAAAATATAATTGACAGAATACAGACCATTCTCCCACACCAACTGGTGTTGGATACTCTTGCTCAGCCCTCACTTTATCTGAAGATCCAGACACTTGAAGGGACCCTTTCAGTGCCTACGTCATAAGCTTTCCATGTTTTATGTGTCTGGGTGTTTTGCTTACATATCTATATATATACACACACACACACACACACTATATATATATATATCCTGGGGTTAATCTGGATTAGCATCTCCTGTAGCTCTCCTGGGGCTAATCTGAATTAGCATCTGCTATAGCTATCCTGGGGCTAATTTGGATTAGTGTCTCCTGTAGCTATCCTGGGGCTAATCTGGATTAGCATCTGCTATAGCTATCCTGGGGCTAATCTGGATTAGCAATTCCTGTAGCTATCCTGGGGCTAATCTGGATTAGTGTCTCCTGTGGCTATCCTGGGGCTAATCTGGATTAGCATCTGCTATAGCTATCCTGGGCCTAATCTGGATTAGCAATTCCTATAGCTATCCTGGGGCTAATCTGGATTAGAGTAAGGATGTGGCCAAGGATGGGGAAAATCACTACAAAGCAGAAACCAGAGAGATTTGAAAGTTCCATGTGGCACTTTGAGCTGTTTATGAATTTCCTTGATATTCTGACCTTAACATGAAATGAACTTGTTTATTTAGCAGATGTTGGGACATGAAGTTGTGGGGTGCCAAGAGGCATACAATTCTAAAAGGTTTTATGTGTATGGTTGTTTTGTGCATACATGTTTGTCTGGCTGCTGCTGGTGTGCTTAGTGTCCACAGGTGACAGAAGGCATCAGATTCCCTAGGACTTGAGTTATAGATAGTTGAAAGCACCATGGGCATGCTGGGAACTGAACTCAGATCCTCAGGAAGATCAGCCAATGCTCATAACACTGAACCATTTCTCTAGTCCTATTTTTTAAAAAAAAATTGTTTTAAACACATTGGACGTGTGCAAGTGCGCATGTGTGTTTGATAAGAACTTGCATGAGTCAGTTTACTCCCTTCTACCATGTATGTCCCAGGATTGGTTGTCAGATTAGGTGAGAAGGGCCTTTACCTGTGGAATCATCTCCCTGCATTCCACTTTAAAAACAAGGTCTCTCTGTGTAGCTCTGGCTGGCCTGGGATTCACTGTGTAGACCAGGCTAGTTTTGAAATTTTATTGAGTCCCTACTGCTTTTGTCTCCTGGATGGTGGGATTACAGGTGTGTACAGGTATACATGTGTATACCACCACACCTGGCTTATCATTTTAATATAAAGTTATAAAGATGCATAGAGATATGAGTGTTTAGTATTTATGAAAGATGTAATGGGAATAATGATCATATATTGTGGGAACTCTTTCCTGGGGAGATGTAAACAAATGTCTAGCTCTTTATTAGAGGATATCAGCAATAAACCAAAGTATGATTCTACTAACTTTAATCAGGCATACTTACAGAGCATGGTTGGGTAGTTACTTATAGGAGCAAAGCAGCCGTATCACCCCAAAGTTTCACCCTATGGAGAATGATGACTTTGCATAGCTGCTTGCTTATATGGAGTCTTCCTGTCAGTTAACCTGCCATAGTGTATACACTAGTACCTCCTTAGACCACAAGGCCATGTGCACTTTGGGGCAGAGTCATACTCAGTGGGCAGAGGACAGGAAACAGAGGGGGTATTTAAGATAAGAGGTTGAGTGTCTTATCCTCCCCACCCCTCCTCCTTTGAGTTAATGCCAACAGTTAACAGGCCCCATCCTGAGGGTCTACAATTGTTCACAGCTGCTCTGATGAAGGTGATGGCTGTTCTGCCCCAAGGATAGTACTAGACAACTTCCTAGAAAGTAGTCTTTTAGCTGAGTGAAAGACAGGTAGTCTATGAGGAGAGCCTTAGAAAACTATAGAGCTCAGGCAAAGAAGGGGATGGGTGACTGACCTACGGAGGAGCAGCTCCCAAATGTGAGGAGCCTTCTTTCTGCTTTTGCCTCTCCGCTCCTTCTGTTTGTGCAGCCCCTCCACTTCTTACCCCATCAGAAATGTCTTTGTCAATTCTGTGGTCTCATAGAAGATGGTCTTATAGGGCAGGTTCTAGAGGAATGGATTTCTGAGGTGGTCTAGTCCAAGCAGGAGATGGAGCTTTCCTGCTGTGGCTCCATTTACATCAAATGCCCAGATAGCTGATGATTAGAGATTAGTGGTTGCCAGGAGCTAATGGGGAGATAAAACAGGAAGGAATTATTCATGTATGTGGACTTTCTCTTTGTGGTTCTTTGAGTTAATAATGATAGTTGTGCAGTCTTATGACTGTGCTGAAAGCACCAAATTACATTCTTTAATAAGATTGAACTATCACTATACCACCTGAACACAACTGCTCTCCTTTAAAAATGGTGAATTATCTCTGATGCTTAAATTATATTTCAATTTAAGAGGGAGGGGAAGGAATGAAAGAGACGGAAACCCTGAAACAAGCAGAGATTGAGACACTCAGTGATAGTTTAAATATTAGCAATATTGAAAATGAAATAGCAGCCATTTCTTAAGTTTTTAGTCTGCACAATTGATAAGGACAGAAATATGGGAATAGAGCAAGTTTTGGGGAAATAAGTAGTGAGCTATGTATTTCATGTGTAACCAAGGCAGACAGGTAAAGATAATGGCCCTGATTTGAAGAGAGATTTTTGAGACTAGAGAAAGAGGGCAATGTGTGAAAGTTGGCTGAAGTCAGTCAAACTTGTTGACAGGTGATATTTTCTTTTTCCTTGGAAGATGTGTGCTGCTGTTCCTTCTTGCCTAGTCTGGTCTATAAGCTGAGCTTTGTGTTTGTTACTTTTCAGGCAGAAGCAAGGCTAGCAGCAAAGCGGGCTGCTCGGGCCGAAGCGAGAGACATCCGCATGAGGGAACTGGAACGACAGCAAAGAGAGGTAACGTCAAGTGTGTGGTGTATTGGGGTGAGGGATAAAAAGCCAGGTTGGATCTCATCCTCTTGAGTCTCTGTTTCCAGGGCTCAGGAGTCCAAGGGTTGCTGTGAGGTAGTGAGAGGGATGTCCCCAGGCTGGACATGTTTTTTTCTCTTCGGGGTGCTTTCTCCTCCACTTGAATGTAGGTCTAGGTCTTGTTCTCCTAGGTCAGCAACTGCGTTTTCTTTTTAGATAAACCGTCTGAGAATGAACACAGAGAGGAGGGGCATTGCAGACAATATAAAAGCTCTGGCCCCAGGGTGGTAAAACTAAAGACTCCTTCATTCTTCACTTCATAATCCCAGTTCTCTGCCTTTGAAATAGTTAACTTAGGAAGTCTGTTCTGGACATTTTTCTATATTTTTTTACAGTATAAATATGGTTTCTGCCCACAGTGTTACCATCCTCACTGTCAACCTTTATATTTCCATAGGATGTGGGGAGACACCTCTATAATGGTCTTTGTGCTAAATGAGGACCGGTCTGGGAGTTTTAGAATGGGAGGTTTTGACATGACATATGTGCAGGTTCAAGTAGAAACATGACAGTGAACCCTGATTCCCCCAGAGAGCTAGCTGAGTCCCCACATTTACCATTTGAAGCATACTTAGTAATGTAGGAAAATGTTCATGTAAGAATATAGGGAGAACCCCAAAGTATAAAATTGATAGAACACCCCAAAACAAACCAACCAGTGCCAAAATATAGGACCAGAAAGAACTGGTTTAATCAGTACTTTGACTTGACAGCCTGTAGTTATAATTGGTCCTCTGTTTTTCTGTAGTCTACATATTTATATTATGTTTTTGTCTTCAGAAAAATGGAGAAAAGTAAAATAGGTAAATGAAAATTGAGCTAAGATAAGATACTCATTCACTTTTCTTTCTGACATCTACTTGAGTCTGAAAAGTCTCACAAATATTTCAATACTATTTATAAAGGGGAAACATCTGTGGAGGAGTATTTTGATGTTATTGGTAGATTTTCTATTGACAAGTTAATAAAAGAAGTTTATATATTTGTGCTCTAGGCTGATGTAATTTTTCCCCCTTAGTTACAGTTAATATTGGATGCAGTTCTTGGTTTGAAATGTAATGTTCTAATGCATTGTCTCTGTACACCTAAGGTTGTAGTAAATTACAAATAGGAGAGACAGTTACTGATAGAGGTTCTGTCCATGCAGAGAACCATGTGTCTTTTTGTTGGTGAACATAGTTTAGAAATCTCTTGTATTTTCAAAGTGTAGCTTTGAGTCACCTACTATTGTTGTCCTGGGCAAGTGTATGTGATAAAGATTTTTTGGAGAATGCAGTGTTTTGAAAACTGTTCAGTTTATAAAACTTTTTTATTCATAGCCTTCTTCTCATCATTGCTCTGACCGGAAATGGGGGCAGATTCAAAAGTGGCTGGTAGGCCAGGATTGCCTGTCCTGCATGCTGTGATAAACTGTTGAACTAATGCAACTCTGCAGCCAAACATTAACTAATGGTTTGCAAAGTAGGCGCTTGGCCTGTGTGAACAGAAGATTATATGGGTCCTCGTAGTCCAGCCGTTTCCTTTTGCCTCACTTTCACCTCATGGAGTCCCAGATCAAGAAAGAACGAGTAAATGACTGTGTTTTAGTAGTTTGGGCCAGACTAGAATTTTTTTTTTTTTTTTTTTTTTGGTTTTTCAAGACAGGGTTTCTCTGTGGCTTTGGAGCCTGTCCTGGAACTAGCTCTTGTAGACCAGGCTGGTCTCGAACTCACAGAGACCCGCCTGCCTCTGCCTCCCGAGTGCTGGGATTAAAGGCGTGCGCCACCACGGACCGGCCAGACTAGAAAATATTAAATACAAACAAAAGCATATGTTGAAAGTCTAATATTTCAGTTCTCTGTTCAGGGGATGTGAAGATAATATTTAAAAGAATCATTAAGAGTCTTGCACTTAGGAAGTTTTTTGTTTGAGTTTTAAAATGTAGTTGGTTAACCTGAGTCTTAACTGGTAGCTAGGACTGGACATACGCAGAAGGTGGGAGCGTGTTTCAGATGGGAGTAATTGCTACTCCTCCCTCCTTCTGCCCCCGTTCTTTACTCCTTTCAGATTGATTCTTCCTCTCCCTTCCTACCATACTCTTGGCTCCCTTGTTTGTGAGCCTACAGGTTATCATATGATATTTTTGATATAAACTATAAGTGGCTAATAAGTTTTTAGTGAAATCTATGATGTATGACCACGCATAGGACTCTCTGTTGCTAGATGATTCTTTTCACGTCAGATATTTCTCTTGATTGTAAGTGTGTGTGTGTTTGTGTGTGCGTGTGCTTGTGTCACTCTTGTCTTGTTGGGATGTGAGTAGGGAACACGAAGTTCGGGAATGAAGGAAGCTACTGTGTGTTAGCACCATGATGGAGCTTTTTACCTTGCTTTAGCATAGGGGGTGCTCTCCATTTTGTAGATGGGCTCTTTAGGTTTTTTTGTTTTTGTTTTCGGTCCACTTAAATCTAGACATACCTGGGAAGAGAGAATCATAACTAAGGAATTTTATCCATCAGATTGGTCTATGGCCATGTCTGTGAGGTATTTTCTTAATTACTAGTTGATATAGGAAGGCCCTGCCCACTGTGGGTGGCACCATCCCTAGGCAGGTTGGCCTAGCTATGTGAGAGGTAGCTGAGCAAGCCAGAGGAGGCAACATAGTAAGCAGTGTTCCTGCATGGTCTCTGCTTCCGTTCTTGCCTCTAGGTTCCTGCCCAGACTTTTCTCATTTATGAACTATAGCCAGGACAAACCTTTCCTTCCCTAACTTGGTTTTGGTCAGGGTTTTATCACAGCAACACAAAGCATACTAGGACAAGAGACGAAGGAGAGGTGTAGTGATGTAAGCAGCCTGTTTAGTCATTGGCAGAGTCAGAAGGAGTGCCACAGCTGCTGACAAAGGTGAAGCAATCGAGGGGAGGGCTGGAATCTTCCTGCATTTCCGTACGGTCCTGTGCAGCCAGCTTTCCCTGTTTTTCGTGATTCTGATTTAAAGTTGTGCGCTTCAATCAGCAGCATGTTGGTGTGTGGCTGGAAGAGTAAATGCTGTTTCTAGTGTTTTCTAATGTGAAACTGAAGGAGCAACTCCAGCCTCAGCTTCATGATAATATTTGTAGACAGAGAAGATGGGTAGGCATGTTCTTGGGGCTGGGATTTTCTTTGACTGAAACTACTGAGTCTTACTTTAAGTGAACTTTTAAAAAGAGTTTGTTTTATTTTCATTAACCAAATTGAATATAACAAGATATTTTTCCAGGAAGTTTTGAAGTTTTTATACTTTATTAATTCTTATGAGAAACTCAGTCGTCCCAGTTAACATCATTGCAGAATCTTTGCTCCATTTGGATGTTGCCATTACCAACATTAGCCTTTCATCCATGACTTAAAATTTTGAGAATACTGGGGCCTCATTTAGAGCAGGCAGACACTCTGCCTCTGAGCTTTATCTCCAACCTGCTTTTTACTGAAGGTGTAAGTCATAAACAATGCCACACAGTTTGGAATTATGATTAATAGGGTGGTATTTATTTAAAGGGGAAAAAACTTACAGATCACGGTCCCAGACAACAGCCCTCTGCGCAATCAGGAAGAAGTCTAGTCCCTGGAACCGGAGCAGGAAGTAAAGAGAGCGAGAAGGGAAGTAGCCGCTTTTTTAAAGGGAGAGAGACCACGCCCCAATGGGCTGGTATCTTAGCGGCTATTGGCTGGAGGAGCGGAAGGACCTCCTGCAACATTTTACTTATTGAGACAGAGTCTGCATTGACCTGGCAGAAATAGTCTGCTGGTCATCAGCCTCCTGCTCTGGATATTTATGTTGTCATTCATGATGGTGGCCAGTCCTTAGACAGCCAGGGAGGAAAAGGCTCCCAAAAGTTTGGGCAAAATATGTCCCTGTCATTTAAAGCATTGTCATGCTTGAATTGTTCAGTCCTAATAAGACCACCCAGGATTCTGACTGGTTGTTTCTCGTGACTGTGGAGAAGGGAACACCCTGTCTTGTATTTAGTACCTAAGAACACAGTTTGTTGCTGCCTGTTTTCTTAGCTACTGGTGCTATTCCTTAAGGAAAAGCTACTGGCTGTTACATTATTGATTATTGATCCCACCTGGACAGTGAAGAGGGCAGTTCTTCCACGGAAGGAAGCCCGGAGTTTGTTGTTTCTGTGTAACTGAGTCTCAGCAGGGTGGATGCTATTCAAGGTTCTGTGGGCCCATTTATGCTCTGGGAGATCCCTCCTCAGCCCTCTGTGTGGTAACTTTCTGTCCTGAAGATAAGGGACCAGATAACACGCTCTCTATGGACCCCAGAACCCAGGCATGGTGGTGCCTGCCTGTAATCTTGGCACTTGGGAGGCAGAGGCAGGAGGATTGCCATGATTTTGAGGTTAGCCTTGTTTACTGAGTGAGACCTGTCTCAAAAAAACAGAATTCTGGAGTTGTAACCAAAGTTTTTCCAACAGTGTTTCCTTCTAATTTCCTTAGATTTGCTACTTAACTGCTTTTCACAGTCAGGAGATAATCAGAAACAGCCTCAGTGCTTTGCCTTTCTGCAGAGAGCTGTGCTACTGAGAAAAGATGCCTTTCAGCTCTTAAGGCATGATAAAAATTTGTTTTGTGTTTTTCTTACTGTTTTACGTGAACATATTTTTTTCAAATTGGCTTAGAGAAATGTTTTTGGCAGCCTTAGCCATGTGCTGGTAATTAGATTTAAGTTGATTAGAATTAAATTTAGTTTTTCAGTTGTGCATTGTATTAGGGTTTTTTAGAGGAACAGAAGTCATAAGATGAATATATGTAAAAGAATTTATTAAATTAACTTACATTAAAATAATAGCACCCTCACACTTGAGCGGCTGAGATCAGGTAGTTAGTATCACTGGGTGCTTCAGCAGTTGGAATCATCTCACAGGCACTGCTTTCTAACTGCGGGGAGGTCAACAAGTTGGTATTTGATCTGTCCAACCGACGGGACGCCTCACCAGTCTGAATCTGGTGCCAAAAACCTGGAGAGCCATTGTTTCTTAATTCATGCTGGGAGGCTGGAGAGCCTGTTCTGTTGTCAGTGACACAGCAGGGGCAGGAAGGTAAAGTCAACCCTGCTGTAGAAGGGAAGGCCAAGTTACCAAAGGCAGTGGTTCCCCTCTGCCATACCCTTTTTAAATCTGAACTACTACCAGAAGGTACTGCTAGCATTCTGGGTGGGTCTTCCATATCAATTAAGGAAGGACAGTTCTTCAGCTGAGGCTCCCTAATCAGGTGATACTGGCATTTCAAGTACTCAGCTACATGTGGCTGGAGGTCTACCATAATATCACAAATATAACTGTTTCTGTCATCTCTATTGGACAGTGCTCGTTTAAAGTATGGCTTTTGACTGTGAAATAAATGAGCTGTATTCTTTGTGTAAATGAACTAGATAGTATGGAATATAAATTTCTCTGTAGACTTCTATAGTCTTTTAGGTCCATCACATCAGGCAGGATGTTCTGTCTAGAAGTGTTCTGTGCTTGGTAGAATAGAGTGAAGGCAGAAGTAGGTCTTCAACCTTGGAAATCAGCTTAGTACCCCAAATGATGTCGAGGGGTATGTAAAATTAATTTGCCTGTGTGATACAAGCTTTCTAATTAGCTTAGAATCAGTTTACCATTTAACATGAAGTGTTCTGCTCTGCTAACTCACATGTCTCCTAGACTTTTGTGGTATCACTTACAAAAAATGTAAATTGGTGATACAATGCCTAGAGATCACAACACCCTGTTGGAAATCAAGTCACCAAATCATGTTTGTATCAAGTGTAGCAGTGCATACAGTAGTTGTTAAAAGACAATTTAAAAAAACACATAAAGATTGAGACCAAAATGAAGCAGTAAGCTGTGGCATTTTGGTTGAATTACTATTTCTGTTTTAAGATAATGGCAATAGATAGCCCCATCTGTTTTTCAGATGCATTGCTGGATTGCTGTGGAGTGTTGTAACATTGGTTCATTTTGATAGGTAGCCCACCTAGACCAGTTAGATGTAGTTTTTAGTCATAGTGGAAATTACTTTAGCAATTGGGACGTTAAAATTCTGAAAAATAAGCAGTTCATTACGGTGTCAGGTGGTCATATTCTGGGCACTAGCTCTTTGCTGCCCATGACTCAGGCTTTGCTGTCTCCTTGCTGATGCACGATTTTGGAAACATTAGAATTGCACATAGTTAAGTGTACTGCTGGGTGTAGTCAGTCCCCTTATAAGCTGCTTAAGGCATGGCTTAACTATCAACTGTGAAATATTTATGTTATTTCTTAGTAGTTTAATCACATTAACGCACAGGGGTGTATTTCTGTATTTCTTTTATTTTCCAGTTAGAATAGTGAAAAGAGGGGGAAAACCCCTGAAATGAAAAAACTTCCTTAGAGTGAGCACCAGAGTAAAACCTAAGTATTTTTAAAGCAATGTACATTCTTCTTTATACATATATGACAAAGTAAACATTCCGTCTCACCTGTATAATCTAGCACTTAAAATGAAAAAATAAATGTCTGCATCTATTTGCTAAGTGCTGTTGTGTGTTTTAATCCTCGAATGTTGAGCTCTCTGGGCCACATGCAAATAAGAGTGCGTGGACACATCACAGCTGTTGAGCTGCTGCCTTTCCGTCTGATACATGTGGTACCACCAAACTCAGCTTTGGATCCTGCTTATTCTAAGAAGGTGCCGCTGTGCTTTTGACTGGCTTGTTTTTGCTCCTTTGCTCGGATAAACAATTACTTGTTCAGTGAATAATTATTCATGTGCTTTCTTCTTCCCCAGGAAGATTCAGAGAGGGCCAGGTATTCTCACCGGTCTGGCCATCACCGTTCTTACCTGGTTTGTAGTGTTATGTAAACTTGCCTGTGGGGCTGTTCCTCATTGTCTTCATGAAGTCAGACCTTTAATATGCTTGCTTTTACTTTTATCAGGGATTAGAGGATACATTGTCTCTTCGAAGCCTTGGCAGTCACAGGGTTGGTATTCTAAGTTGTTTACATCAAATAGCAAAGCTTTTAACAATAATCTTCCCTCAGCATCCGTGATTATCTGAGCAGTCCAGCAGTGTCCATTAATGCCTCTTCATAACATACGTGAACAATGCTGGCAAAGCTCCGTATTAGAAAGATATGTTTTCTCTCAAATTATTGCTAGAAGCGAATCAGTTTTAAAATCTTGAATATTTTTATTTTAATGCAGGTTTGTTCTTGCTTTCTGTAGAAATACCTTTGATTTTAGAAGTATCACAAAATCATAAGATGGAGTTTTGTAGAATAACATCTGCTTTGTCCTAATTTTTTGATTTTTCTTATTTTCATATCATAGACTGACAATCTATTGAATGAACATAGCTTTGGGGCTTGTCTGGCTAATTACAATTATAATTACATGGAACTATTGACTTGAGATTTTTTTCTTGCCATGCGTATAGGAATTATGCTTTGACGTTTTGATTAATATTTTATAATATACCAGTCTTTGAGTATAGATTGTTATAAGTAGAGTGAGGATTTGCTGCCTAAAGTCTCGTGTGTTGTGCTGAAGCACAACCTTTCCTCTTACTTCTTAAAGAATTGTGCTTCAACACAGTGTTTTGCACTTGTGTTATTTACGTTTTTCATCAGTAAAATCATCTTTCATATTAAGGGCGTTATTTGTTCCAACTCTGATTTCCTTCTTACTTTATATATAAGTGTACTACTTAAGCTAATACCTGAAATAACAGGTATTAGCATTTTTATATTTTTAAGTACTCCACCTATTACACTCCAATACATTGTTTTCTTTTGGTGTATGTATGTGTTTCTGGAGTAACTTTATAAACTGGTTTCAAGTCATAAGTGCTCTATTTAGTTACAAACTTTAGACTGGTTTTGTAGTATTGACAAATTTTTGAAGAAACGTAAGATAACCAGTGGCTTTAAAATGGGTTTACAGGGGGCTGGAAAGCTGGCTCAGCGGTTAGAAAGCACTTGCTGCTGTTGCAGAGGGCCAGGGTCAGTTCTTAGCACCCACACAGCAGCAGCTCACAAACGCCTGTCACTCCAGGTCTAGGGCGTCTGGTGCCCTCTTGTGGCCTCTGTGTGCATATACCTACAGAAATGTTCCTTTCCAAAGTGCTTTTTATGTGTATGAATACTTTTTAGAAGGAAAATGTGTGCATTTTCATGCTTGCTGCTAGAGACATTCTTTTTCTTCCTCTTTAAATAACTTTTTAAAAAACTATATAATGAGTCTACCAAAGTTTCAAAGTTGAGAGTCAAGGACTGCAAAATATTCTCCTCTTCCTTTTTGTGACCAGTTTCTTGACTTTCAATTATAATGCTCATAATATGAGTTTTCACAATTTATTATTGAGTATTTATAAATTTGAATGTGACCTTGGAGCATTGATCTTTAAGTTTGACCTAAGTTAGGGAACTTTAAGTCAAACCTCCAAATGAAAGAAATTTGCCATTAAACTCATAAGGAACTATTCACCTGGAGTGGGTATAAAACTACCAGTTGGATATCGATTTAGTGGAAATTGTATCAGTAAACATTGGAGATACAATTTTAGTTCTTTTTTTTTTTAATTTACGATAGCTGTGAAAATGTGTTCCCATTAATAGAAAAAAACTCTTTGTATTTTTTGAGGTTTATCTTAGGTGTATTGGTGCTGGAATGTGCATCAGTATCACATGTGTATAGTGCCCTCCAAGGCCAGAAGAGGTTGTCAAATCCTCTAGAGCTGGAATTAGAGATGATGTGAGGCATTGTGTGGGTGCCGGGAATTGAACCCCGGTCCTCTGGAAGAGCAGGCAGTGCTCTTAAATGTGGAGCCATCTCTCCAGCCCCAACTCTTTGTATTTTTAAGAATTAACATGTGAGTGCCAAGGATGTAGCTAAGTGATTGCGTTCTTGACTAGCAGGTGCAAGGACTTAGGTTTAATTTCCATCACTGGAAAGAAAAAGCCAGTGTGAACTTGAAGAGTAATAAAGGAGTCTGCATTATCCTTGTGTGTATGTGTATGGATTCAACATGGTTTACATGTATAGATCTTTACAAAGTTAAGTCTGAAAGCTCAGTGATAAATTGTATTTCTTTTTAACAATGTGCTTTGTTTTTGCTCTCTCTGGGGATGGAACCCTGTTCCAAGTGCTCCTCCACTGAGGCTGATCAACATCCCTAGCCTTTGAGATAGTTTTCCCCGTTTTGCTTTAATTAGATGATCTTAGGAATTCTAAGCATTTGGAGTTTTTGTTTGTTGTTTTATTTTGGGGATCGGGTCCAGGGTATGTGGCAGACCACTCAGCTACCACTAGCTCTAAATTATTGACTTTTAAAATAACTTTACCAGTTCCACTAATCTGAATATGCCAGACAATTTTTGTCCTCTATAAAAACCAATAAATAAATAAATAAATAAATAAATATAATGGTCTAAAATAGTGACCTAAATGTTCTAATGGTTTACCATAAAATTTAGAGGTTTTAGTGTTTCTTTACCTGTGTTTTTAAACTTACGAGTTATGGTTTTAAAAGACTAATACTGTCTGCACATTTATTTGGTTTTGAAGCATTGGCGGTATGTGGATGTGGGTCAGGTACACTTAAGGTTTTATGCTGGATTTTTAGGATTTTGAACTTTTCTTTTGTCCAGTTAGTTATCTTTAAGAAACTGCTCTGTTGAGAGGTGCCCTGCTAGAAGCTACATGGTTTGAAAAGTGCTATAGACATTAAGACTAAAAATAAAAAGGACAAAGGAAGCCTGAGCCTGAATGTAGGCCTAGGGGAGGGACGAGTAAGTCAAAGTCTTGGACTGAAGAATGAAACTGTGTATGTTTGTTTGCTTGTTACATGTGAATAGATTGCTAATAACATGAATAGCAGTAGCTGCCTTAAAAATTACCACAGATGCTTGATTTTTGCTTTGTGTACAGTGTGCAAGAAGACAGTCAAAGAAATCTCAGATTAGGAAATAGTGTGACCTTGAATCATAGGATATTCACTATTCTTCATTAGTGGAGATTTTTACTGTTTAGTTACTATTTATTTAGTTCCTTGCCATATGTTAATGGTTTTGAGATAATTGTAGTGAATTCAGTTTTTCAATTATTCTTTAAACTTGTCTTTTGTTTAATTTCACTTAAGAGTTCATCGAAGGATATTACTGGGACACACTGGAGCAGAACCAGTACACCCAAAAGGAGAGACATGATGGTGTGTACTTCTCAAATGTGTGTGGTCTCAGATTTTTATGTGTTTATTGTTGATTTTCAGTGTTGTGGACATAGAGGCAACAGGAATAGGCTAGTGACACATGAGTTTCTACTTTGTTTTCCTGTGGAAACTTTAAAACAAATGTTGTCTCTAAGGTTCGATGACATGCCCTGACTTTGATTCCAAGATTATTTTGTAAGCCAAATCAGCTATGCGCTCTTCCTTGCTTTTGCTATTTTTCAAATGATGGCAGACAGTGGTAGCGGCCACAGAGATGAGGAGGGAAGCATCTTCGACCTTAAACGGTTTATACGTTACATTTAAAGCCTCCCTTAGGCTGTATTGTTCTGTAATAGCCTAAGATTGAATCATCTTACTATCACTGATTCTGAATTTTGTTATTTGAAAGAAAAGTAGAGGCTGGGGAGTGTCTCAGTGGCAAAGCACCTGCACAACATGCACAAGGCTCTCAGTGCAGCCAAAAGTTGGCGTGGGGGAGAATACAGCCTTTTGTGTGTTCATGATGGGGTTCTGTCTCAGACTGCAGAGTAGCTAGGGCTACGTGTGCCTATCACTATGCCTGGCATAAAACAAAGTTTTAGTCACACGTGCAGCTTAGCAATAATTTCTACTAAGAAAGTAAAGGTTATATCTAAATATAATAGCTTTTGCATTTAATAATATTTTGCTTTTGAAGTAGTACTGTTTTGATTTTAATAATGACAAATGTTACCTTTTTCCCTTCTTTCTGTTCCTGACTTTGACAATGCAACCGACTTTCGCACTTTTCTGAAGTGCAGTACGATACCCTCAAGGACAGATCATCAAGGGTTCCGTCATTAGTATGTAGTGCATGACTTTGTGTTACGTGTGAGGCTTTTCTTTCTAAACACCAGTTATTGCTTGCTAATCATAGATTATGACTAACTTTCATGGTTTTGTTATAGTTTTTGGGGGGGGATGTGTAAAAAACCAAAAACGATTGTCTTTGCAGTTGTGCCATAATCAGGTACTGGAATAATAGCTTTGCCCATAGTCTTCAGGGTCAGGCTGAAAGCGTGGCTCAGTGATAAAGTGCTTCCTTGGCATTACAAGCCTGTACAAGCTCCCCAGTACTACAAAAACCAAAAATGCTTCAAATGGATCAAATGTGTGCTGGAAGAGCTGAGATTTCTGGCTCAGTAATTCAGTCATAGTTTCATCTTCCAAAGTAGAGCTGGTTCCCTGTGCTCACCTGCTGCACAGGAGGGCTGTATTGATTTATTTTGCCTATGTCAACTTGTTGGAGCTGGTTCTCTCCTGCTACCATATGAGTCCCAAGGATTGAACTCAGGTCACCCAGCATCAGCCTCGGCAGCAAGCATCTTCATTTTCTGAGCCATCTATCTCTCCAGCCCCTCTGACAGTGTTCTGAAACACCTGAGCTACATACAGTAGTCCACCTGTGCTCCATTTCGTGTGTCATAGGCTGGCAGTTACTAAATAAAATAGGCAGCAGTGGTGGGTGGCAGCTGTAGCTGTCCAAGAGTTTCAGCTTGACATATTGAATTAGCAAAGGAAGTCAAACGGGCTTGGGTTTTTTTTTCTTTGTTTGTTTGTTTTGTTTTTTTGGTTACAATTATGTCAGTAGATTGCCCAAGTTTCTAGGCTGCGTAGTTTTCACTTAGATGTTCACAGTAAAGTATTAAAGATTATTCACAATGAGAAAATGAGCATGTCCTTCCTGTTGAGGATCTGACTGTGTGAAGTGGTTTTCCTAGGACAGCCTGTCGCCCTTGGCTGTTCTAAGGGTACTGCACAGTCTCACTACATAGATTGAATTTATTGTCTGCTGGTTGTTGTTGAGTAATAGTCCTGACCTTTGTCCCCCTGGGAGAAGTGATGTCTTTATATAATCTTGTTTCCAAAGTACTTTGTGTAAACTTAAGTATATACATTATAGGTATTTCTCTTCTGAATGGCTTCTGCCCTGGCTCTACTAACTTAAGTATATACATTATAGGTATTTCTCTTCTGAATGGCTCATGCCCTGGCTCTGCTAACTTAAATATATACATTATAGGTATTTCTCTTCTGAATGGCTCATGCCCTGGCTCTGCTAACTTGGTCTGGGGGTTAGAGAAATGGCTCAAGGGTTAAGAGCACTTACTGCTTCCAGAAACCTGAGTTTAGGTCTCAGCATCCATGCTGGCTGGTTCACAACAACCTCTAACCCAGTTCTGGGGCTCCATGCCCTCTTTATAGCATTTGCCCACATAGACCATAAATACATAATTACATACATATAAAATAAATAAAATAAATCCCCCCAAAAGAGTGTTGTTTTCAGCAGTGAAATGTCCTTTTGGTTTATTTACAATACAGCATTGTTTTTGCTTTTAGATAAGATGACTAAATGGGGGACAAGACTCAAGTAAGGTGTATAATGTAGTTGGATATTTCTTTGGGCCACTAGCTCACAAATAATGGCATGGAGACTTATTAATTATGAAAGTTTGGCCTTAGATTAGGCTTATCCCACTAGCTCTTATAACTTAAATTAACACATTTATTTATTTATATTTATTTTCATCTACATTCTGTCCTGTAGCTCATTACCTCATCTCTCCATACTGCTCATGCTGCTTCCTCCATGCCTGACTGGCGATTTTGCCTTCTTCCCCCCAGAGTTCTCTCTCTGCTTGGAAGTCCTTCCTAACTATTGGCTGTTCAGCTTTTTATTATACCAATCACAGCAATATAATTTCACACAGTGTACAAATATCCCACAATAGTCCCCATAGACATCCTTCTGACTCTCTGTCCTAATAAGTTCCCTTTAGCTGGCCAGACACCAGGTTAGTTAATGGACACAAGTCAAGTAAGAGAGGGTGATGTGTCTCCAGACTGCATGTATCAGCCTTCCAGGTTCTCTCAGTCTGTTACTGACAGGAATTAGGTTGCATGCATACTACTCTTTATCATATGTACCTTTGCTATTATTTTATAATGAGTTTCATTCTTAAAATTTCACTACATGGCCATTAAAGTTGACTCAACAATTTTTACTTGCAGAATTATTCTTACAGTCACACCTATGGGATGAAGAAGCGATCTTCTAGTTCTCATAAAGACCCCCTGGTTAGTTCTACTTTGAAGTTTGATCTAGTTGTGATATTATGGACAGCACCAAATTACAAGTGGGTTTCATGCTCAAAGTTTGTTTTTTAGAAACTTGGAATGTACAATAATGTGTGTGATAGAGAGTTCCCATGTGAGAGCTCCCAAACCCTGTTACCTGTGTGATCACACTGCAGAACTAACAGGCTTTTCATTACAGTCACCGGGGTGCTCGGAACACCTCTTTATTGTGCTGTTGGCAGAAATGTAGTCCCTACCTTGCTGCCAGTTCTGGGTTCCCACGGGAGTGTTGGGAGGATGTACCTAGTAAGGAAGAGGGAGGCAGAGAATGCTGAAGGCACATTACAGAGAGGCCTTGGTATATGGGAAGGACTTGGCAGTTTTGTGCTGGGGGGGGGGGGTGTGGGGGAGGTGTGAGTGATGGTGAGAGCGGTGTGGGGGAAGGGGTAGAAGCAGAGACCCTGCAAGGAGTGTCAGCAGTAGGGAAGGAAGGTTCTCAGCTAGGGATTCATACACTTGCTTAGCCTCTAGCAAGGGGGATTTGAGAGATGATTTCTCTAACCTAGTAAATTATAAAAGTAGTATTATTCAGTGGGCCTAGGTTTGACAGGGGCATTCTTAACTGTAGAATGAGAATAACTCAGTTATTTGTATTTCATTTTTATCTGAGAGGTTTTTGTCTTATTTTTAAGGTAATAACAAGCAGTAATGACCTTGTTTGAAGTAGCTCACCTTTAGTGCCCACCCCTTACAGAGGTTTGAAACCATTGCTGCTTGTCCTGTCTTTGCTCAGATCCAATGGTTTAAAGGCATTGCCTTGGGGAAGAAGGAGCCTTAACAGGATCAGATTTGCCTGTGTATTCAAATTTTGTCTTGGTGTGCTTCAAAAACATTTAACCTGAAAAAAATATATTAAATTTTTCTTTTTGCAGAGTGGCCTCTATTTTGACCAGAGAAACTATAGCAGTCTTAGACATAGCAAACCTGCCTCTACCTACTACTATCGGGTTTGTCCAAAGTCTTTGGTCTCATGTATTTACCCACCTTAAACACATCTCTAATCCCCCACTTTGCATTTAGACTATTTGTAACTAATCTCTTAATGGCTTGATATACCTGTATAGTTTTGGTAGCTGATTTATATAGTTCTTCTTTAGTGTATCTTCAGTGTGAACTGTTAAATCACCATGTTTGTAATGAAAATTTCAAATAGAAAAAGAATTTATACAGTGAGCACCATGTTCTTAGATTATTTAATTTACTTTCTTAGTCACATAATTATTTGTCTATCATTCCATTTTTTTTTTAAAGGCAGTCTCACATGTATGTAGCCCAGGCTCAAACTCAAGATTGTTTTACCTCAGTCTCCTAGTTGCTGGTGTTAAGACGGGGACCATAATGCCAAGCTTCTGTCTAGTTTTTTGATTCATTTCAAAATAAGCTATAAGTATCAATACACTCACTAATAGATACTCTTTTAAGAAGTTAACATGTGAAAATCTAAGCTACGTATAGGATGAGAAGTATGTTATTATTTACTAGAGTATTAATGTAATGTTAGAATCTTGTTTTTCCTTTTTGTCTGTTTTGGGGCTTTTGCCTGTTTTGTTTGTTTTTGAGACATGGTGTGTCTCTGTAGCCAAGGCCTGATCATCTTGCCTTAGCCACTTGTGTGCTCAGATTACAGGCTAGTGTCTCCACAGTCAGCTAGAATCTTATTTTTTTCCAAGACATCTAACATTTAAAGCATACTGTAATGTGTGGTACCCAGCACATTTAAAAGTATTCAGGAATGGGGGCTAATCTATGTGGTAGAATAATTCATTAGCACATGCAAGGCTCTGAATTCAATTTCAGGCACTGGAAAACACAGTCAACTGAAAAACCTGTCTGCACACACTATTTCACTATTCCTGTTTGTCTAGGTTTAGTGAAAAAGAACTGAAAATTGTGTCTTAAGTGACTCCAGGGAAAGAAGTGTAATTTCTTTACAGAAAGTACTTTTAGTGCATGAACTCTGGGGACTAGTTCAATTTACGTGGCTTCTACCATGCTTTGTCCATGGCATGTTTTTAAAGATAAGCTTTCAAAACTATTTGGGGAAAAAAATGGTGATAATAGTAACTAAGAGCTTCCTTACCTATAACCAAACCCATTAGGAGTCTACCACAAAATAATCCACAGTGCCCCAGGAACTACTGGTGACTGGTTTGAGACCACTGTTTGACACATTCCCAAATTCCGTGGTCCTCTTTTCTTCAGTGCTTTCCTGGGTCCCTGTCTCATACCTGCCAAAAATGTCCTAATACCCAAAGGTTGTACATAATGATAGAAGTCTGCTAGACCAGATTTTCTTTCTCACCCTTAACAGTTTACACTCGGAAAGTGTCTAGTGACTTTTCTCTTGCTTCGTGTGTTTTCACACTACGCTAAGCACTTGGGACTTGCTAATGAGTTATGGAATCTAAAACCATAAACATGAAGCCTTTTGCTTGCATGATGGTGAGGTGCATTCTCCTGTGTTTCTGCTTTTGCTTATTTCTATTGTTCTGCCTCTCTTTGCAGTCTTCTTCCCTGTGCAGTGACCCGCTGGGGACATCGAGTAAGAACAGGGTTAGTACTTTCGAGGAGCCTGTGGCTGTCACAGCTGCCCTTGCCCTTCGTTAGGTTTAATTAGTGCACTTATTCCATAGGCCTCCTCTGCTGCAAATTCTGGTCTGCTGAGAAGTGCCAGCCTGGTTTGTATCTCCTTCTTGCAGTGTGTGCTCTGTGCCATGGCGCTGACTAAGCTGTGTGGCCTTTCTGCCACATACTCTGCAGAGTACGCTGCCTGTGCTTAGGTTACAAAACTCACGACGTGAAAAAATAATTTTGTTCTCTTTGCCAACATTGAAATGGATGACTTCTGGTAGCTTATGTTTAAGAGTCTGTTTTCTGCAAGGAGATAAACTCCCTGGGTTCTACCACATTCACTTAGTTTTCTTTGGTATGGTTATGACCCTCAGCTGTGGCAATCAAAAGTTTACTAAATAAACCAAATTTAAAGCATAACCAGTAGCTTAGTATGTGTGGCTGTTGGTGTTTCTAGCCATTTGATGTTCTGTAGACAATTTCTGAAGACTGGAACCCAGAGTGCTTATACCTGTTCCCTTCCCCGCTGTTTGCTCTTTTAAGAGAATAAATTAATTAATATTAGCTTCCTCATGTTATAAAGTGAGGGCAAAAGAAAATACTGTAGTGTTTTTGTTAATCCAAGTATATTGTTGAAGTTACAATGAAAATGATACAGCAAATGAATATAACATACCATCCTCAAACATTTTTTGAATTATGAACTGCCAAATAATGAAGGTATTTTCAAAATAACTCCAGTGCTAAATAAGTAAATAATTATTCTTTTGTTCTTTAGGCATCATTGTCTGGTGGTGGATTATATAACCCTTATGGTTCTCGAGCTGTAAGTGTAAATGGGAGGGGGTGACCACAGGAAGGGGCAGGAGTCATTTAGTCTGGCCCATTCATGCAGCCAGCTGTGAGAAGGTGACCGTTTGGAGATCAGGAGTGACATATGAGGGGAGTCTTGGGGAAAGTCTTCAGGCATCTCCTCTGCTTTTGAGGGTGGGTGTGGGGGTGGCGTGCCAGACAAGGCAAAGCAGCTGTTTTTACCTTGGGCACCAGAGTCAAGTCAAGGGTAGAGCCACTGTATTACCAGCAGAAAAACGGAGCTGGCCATTGTTATAAAGCCTTTCTTCTTGGAAATGTTATAGCCATCTGAATACAGTTACTACTCATCGAGAGCGAGTTCCTCCCGGAGCAGCCCTGTGGTGAGCTCTCCAGCCTCTCTGCACACTTGAGGAGTGTCAAGTTGCTCTGCATTCCACTTTAGAATAGAGTGCTGTGTTTCACCATCTTCTGCATGGGTTATGTGTCCCCAAGTCCATAAAAACCAACTACTAATATGTGCTAATTGACTGCTTTTGTGTGGACCCAAGTAATTTCTTAACTGAGTCTGGAACCGAGGCCTTTGGACAGGCTTAAAGTTTTTGTATTGTCATTTATGTGAAACACTTTGCTAACTCCTGTTGGGTGTGCTGTTCTGGCTATCCCTGCGTATGTTCCTGCATTGCCTTTTCTGTCTGTGGAGTGGTGGGAGAAGTAAAACAAATCAGTTCTTAAAGCTTGTTATGTGCTCCTGCTACTCTTTCTAGAACATTACATTTATTTTGCAGTTTATAAGGTAAGTAATATTAGTAAAGGACAAGTCCAGAGTAAAGCTCCCCAGACAAACCTTACATGTAACCTGTGCACATTCATGCTTTCAGAGATGTTCTGGACGCGTGTGAGTGCTTTTCATTTCGACCATAAATGGCTTCCTTTCTAGTATGTGTTACTTCTCCATGTTTTCTTAAAGTATCTTTCTGTGTCAGTGCATATAGATTTATAGTATCCCTTTTTGCCATTATTATCATCATTATCATCGTCATCATCATTTTAGACAATTAAGCTATGCCCACCTTTTCAATTATTTTCTCTTTGAGATAATTTTGTATTATCAAATCTTTTTAATATTAGCATACTATCACACGAATGTATAGATGTTAATTTTAAAAATCATTTTACTATTGATGGTCATTTAGATGGTTAGACATTTTCTATGTGTACTCATGAGCTTTGCATGCACAAATGGAGGTCAGAGGTCAAAGTCGGGTATCTGTCTATTACTCCTCTCTACCTTGTTTGTTTAGACAAAGTCTCACTTAACCTAGAGATCACTGTTTTGGCTAGACTGTCAGGCCAGGGAGCCCCTGAGAGCCACTGTCCCCCCAGTGCGTACACTACCAGGCCTGGCTTTTACATGGGTGCTGGAAGTACAGATTAAAGCTTCATGCTTGCATACTCTCTCTCTAGCCCTGTGGTGAACATTCTTACACATGTTCTCTGCCCCTGTCTTTCCCTTCCTTTCACACCCGTACACATGCACAGAGAATACATTTACATGAATATATCTGTAAGACAAATATGTATCAGGAAATGTTAGGAATATAAGAGCATATGCATTTTCAAAAGAAGATTAGTTTTGTTTTATGTGTATAAATGTTCTGCCTACATATACATGTTTGTACCATGTCTAAGCCTGTGTCCGCAAAGGCTTGAAGAGGATTTTGTGTCCTGGAACTGTACTTAGAGGAGATTGTGAGCTACCATGTGGCTGCGGGAACCAAACCCAGGTCCTTTGAAGAGCAGCAAAGAATATGTACTGCTGAACCATCTCTCCAGCCCCTCCCAGGTTTTGAGGCAGGATTTTACTGTGTAGCTCTGGAGAGTCTGGAACTCACTCTGTAGACTAAACTGACCTCGAACTCACAGAGATCTGGCTGCCTCTGCCTTCTGAATGCTGGGATTAAAGGTGTGGGTCACCATGCTCAGAGTGTATGTGTTTCAATTTTGCTATATCTGACCATGTTGACAACTAAAAAGACTACTCATTTACATTTCCAAAGTAAATGATTACTTTCAGCGTACTAGCTTGTTATCCTTACAGATTATACCAAACTGGAGAAATTAATAATTATCAGGGAAAAGAAGAGTTCTGTGGGCTTTTACATTTAAAACGTTTGCAGTTCTGACCTCCAGAACAGCAGTTCTCAGAGATCCCACCCTTGGACTTAGTAAACACTAACACGGGTGTATTTAGGGCTTAAGGGCTTTGTCACAAAAGAAGGATGTTTACTCTTAGCCCACTGTGTACTCAGAATTCTACTTGGCAGTTTTCAGACCGGGTGACATTTTTAATATGTCAAATGTAGTGTTCCCCTGCAAAAATTTTTGATAATGTATTTTCAAAAACACAACAGTGCAGGTCCTTGCTCTTGTGAGTTGACTAGATTCTGTTTCATTTGCAATGCGGGTTCAGAATTACTACCTTAGTGATGCCAAAATGGCATCTTAGTGACATCAGAATGGGGATAAAGTAGTAGGCCGAAGATGAGCTTTGCCAGTAGATCGGGAAGAACACAGTCCTGTGATGGGATAATAGTACCATCTCCGCCAACTGCGGAGGGATGAGGACCAGGAAATGAGTCACTGCCTCAAGGACTTTGTTGGTAGGAACTTCTTTGACATATGTTATTTCATTTAAAAACATTTTTTCCTTTCTCAAATTGAAATCATAAGTATATTTATTGACGTCTCAAGGGACTTCACAGATATGCAAGTCTAAAAATACCATGACCTCCCTAGCTGATTTCGTCTCGTTTACTCATACCCTCACCAGTGTTTAATGTTAATAAAAGAGTGTTGCTTTATTCTTTGTGCTTTTGCGAAGTATCGACTTGTAGTGATACTTCATTATGCCTTCTAGCAGCTTATCTCTTTAACGGAGTGCAGCGGTTCATGTCAGTTACAGTGTGCAATAGAGTGGCCTTCTAAAACTCTCCCACGGTGTTTATAGTCCACCAGAACAGTAGAGAAACTGAATCTTTTTCCCTTTCTTAGTCTATCGATGACGACACCGCAAGCATTGTGTCTTCTGATCGTGCCAGTTGTGGGAGAAGGGACAGTGTGGTGAGCATGGTCTGCATGAAAACAGTTACAACTGTTACAGGACAGTACTGTATGATTATGTGACATTTACTGAAAAGTGAAGTTTGTGTTTTCCTCAAATAGAGTTTATGTGCACAGTTTGCTTTGCCATGTTGTTGAGAATGACTCACAAGGCCCAGGCACAAATCGTTGACTGAAAACTTTCACCTTATCTTGTTAGAGGGAGGGCCTGCTTCTTCGTCCCTGCCACCCAGCTAGCTTAGCCCCAGAATAACCCACAGAAGCTGTATTAATTAAAACATTGCTTGGCTCATTAGCTCTAGCTTCCTATTGGCTAACTCTTGTATTAATTTAACCCATTTCTATTCATCTGTCTATTGCCACGTGGCAGTGGCTTACCGGCAAAGATTTGGCATGTCTGGCTCTGGTGGCTCCATTGCTCCTCCCCTGACTTCGCCCTTCTTCCTCCCAGCATACAGCCAAGCTTTCCCTGCCTAGTTCTGTTCTTCCCTGCCATAGCTATGCTCAAAGCAGTTCTTTGTTCAATTTAACCAATAGAAGCAACACATAGACAGAAGGACCTCCCACACCATTATCTGTTTTTTTTTTTTAAGTTTTATAATTATGTTTATGTACAGAAAACTCAGCAGTACATTTAACCCAGTTTAGTGGCGAGTTCTTTGGCCTTTGCCTTTTCCAGCTTGGCAATTCGAGCCACAGATTTAGGACCCAGGACGTTGCCTCCCCAGTGGCGGCGGATCTCATCATATCTGTCGTTGTAATTGGTCCTAATAGCTTCCACCAGCTTGGCCAGAGCACCCTTGTCTTCCGAGTTAACCTGTGTGAAGGCAACAGTGGTGCACGTCTTCCTATGGACCAGCCGCCCCAGCCTGGCCTTTCCCTTGATGATGCAGTAGGGGACCCCCATCTTGCGACACAGAGCAGGCAGGAAGACCACCAGCTCAATGGGGTCTACATCATGGGCAATCACCACCAGCTGAGCCTTCTTGTTCTCTACCAAAGTGGTGACTGTATTGACGCCCACTTGAAGGACAGGTGGTCTCTTAGTCGGGACATCCCCTTTGCCGGCAGCTTTCTTCTCAGCACGGGCCAGCAGCCTCTGCTTCTTTTCCTGCTTGGTCTCTGGCCTGTACTTGTGGGCAAGTTTAAGCAATTGGGTAGCTGTTTGCCGGTCCAGGGCTTGGGTGAACTGGTTAATGGCTGGAGGAACTTTGAGCCGCTTATAGAGGATGGCCCTCTGCCGCTGCAGCCTAATGTAGCGGGGCCATTTGACGAAGCGCGTGAGATCTCTCTTGGTCTGGATGTCCTGCCCAATGCCGAAGTTCTTAGGCCTCTTCTCAAACAAAGGATTCACCACCTTCTTCGCCTCCTGCTTCTTCACGACGGCGGGGGCCGGGGCCACCTTCTTCCCCTTGGCCTTCTTTCCCTTGGGCATCTTGCCGGGCTGGAGGAGAGAGACTATCTGTTGTTTTTTATGCACACATTTTATCCACTTATTTTCCAAAACGAGCCTCTCAAGCAAGAGTCACACTTACACCATCATACAGTACTCATGTGTGAGACTGTGACGTCGTCAGCTGTCAGTGGCAAGATTGAAAAACATCAATTCAGACATTTCACCCAGTTAATCATTGTGGACTTTGTGCTATTCTTTAATGATGCTGCAAGTGTTGCAGGGTGACGTTTTTGTTCTCTATAAGGATCTGATCTGGAAATTAGAGTAGAGGACTGTGTCAGCATGGAGCCAGAATAAAGAGACCTATGAAGCTGTAATTTCTTCCAAAAGCGGTACAAACTCAGTGTGCGCAGTTGTAAACCAAAGTTCTCATAAAGGGAGCACCACATGTTTGTGTGAGATAAATTCATCTGATTAAAGCATTTTTGGTTCCTTAGCCATCCAGATAATGTTCATACTCATGGCCGAAGGAGAAATAAAAGTCATAACACCTTGGAAGCAGTGGAAATAGGGACTTAATAGTGATGGGCTTGCCTCAACCTCAGTAACCTGTTAGTTGTTTCTGTCCAGTGGAGATGGCTGTCTTCTCTGTTGTTAGACTTAATACCTGTACTCAGTGAGTGACTCTGGAAGACACTTTTCAAACTTCCAAGGTAGTAGGTGCTAATCATTTATTATATGTAATCAAGGTGTAACGAATAAAAATATCATTGCTTGATTTTGTTAGCCATTGGCAGACGTCTTGTTCCTATGGATGGTTTCTTGGTGAGGAATTTTAGAGCAAGGCAGAAAGGCAGACACACTTGGAGTAAGAATGACTGATGAGTGGGTGCAGTCATTCTACTGTGGAGTGCAGTGTTGAGAACACCAGGAGTCATTTGTTCAGCCAAGGACAGAGCTCTGACTTTACGGAACTTATGTTCTAGGAAAAGACAGAAATAAACTAGTAAGGAAAGGAGCACAAAAGGAAGACAGTTCAGGGTGTGAAGAAAAGAGCAGGTGACTGGGACAGAGGACCTTGAGGTGGGTGTGTCAGAGTGATCCTTGGAAGAGTGCTCAGAGACGGTGGCTTCTGATGGGAGAGGCTCGGCTGTTTGAGTGGCAAGAGAGGGCCTTTACAGGCCAGTTTTTCTCATTGTTTTGTCCAACAGTTCCTGATATGACATGTGAAAAGGAAGAAATTATTGCAGAAATTGAGTATTGCCAGAGTTGATAACTATAAAGATTTATAATTTTATAAAATATAGTAGAGATTTGATAGTGGTCTGAACACTGCCCTCACCAGTCGAAGGTTCCCAGTGCTTCAGTGTGGAAGATGTGCTTGTCATGAGCTCAGGCAGAAAATGGTCTGTAGCATAGACTTGCACTTGTACTGTTGAAAGAACTTACTCTAGGGAGCTGTGACTTCATTCATTCATTCATTCATACCTCTTTTTTACTTTTTGAAATAGGTCAGTTGTAAAAGTTTCCTCATTTCACGATACTTTATCAAACATCAGATTAAGACAGGCACACAACTTTCCAGTTAGCTAGTGTTCTTTTTCTCTTTTCTGATGTGTAAAGTGTCTCATTTTCTCTTACTGAAAGGTCTCTGCCGCTGATTATTTTAGTCGCTCCAATCGTAGGGGGAGTGTTGTCTCTGAGGTGGATGACGCCAGCATCTCAGACTTGACCAGCGTGAGTGTATTGCATGGGTCATTGTGTTGTCCCAGGCATGCGACTAACTGCTTATGTAGTAACTATTTTTAAAATTAGGAATTTAATTAACTCCTTAGACATATTTACTTGAGCATATTAACATGAAACATAATTATTTTGGAATATATTTGTTAAAATGTTCTTTAAAATCCCTCTTTCTTTTACCCTGTGGAATTCCCTCATTAGCATCTTCAATGATTCCTAATATCATCCTAATTTTGTTTCATATGGTTTTTTTTTACTATTCTTTTTATCTGAATTATTTTAGAGTCAATCCATTTCCATCATGTCATTTCCTAACAGGTAGCTGATATGCATACCTAACCCTCCACCTAAGGAAATAAACAAGTAGTTTCCTAACACTAGCCTTGGCCCGTATTCAGGTGCTTCTGGTCTACTTTTTGCCCCCCGCTTGGTTTTGATAAACCTATATATAAAGTGTTAGATTTTAAAAGCTGGATAATAAAGTACGCAGCTTGGCAAAATGCCCCATGTTCAGTAACCAGAAAGGAACTGAAGAGATTTTAAAGTGGACTCTGGCATTGGTCTGAGGCACCCTTCCTAGTGGATCGGGGGCTGAGTGGGAGTCGAGTGTCCATGGGGGCACCTCTGGCTACTCCACTCTGCATGTACTTTGTGACCTGCCTGCTGAGCTCATCTCTCCAGCCCCTCCTCACCTGGCTTGGCATCATGCAGACAAGTCCTATTCTGATTGCCCAGCACTGTGAAGGGATTTCTCCCTGGTTATGCAGAGATCGTTTTTTATTAGCACTTCACTTATGGTATGAAGTAGCTATTTTCGAACTATTTCAATCCTAAAAAATAATCTTAATTATTTTAATTGCAGTTCTAATTATTCCACACTACTAATTTAAATCTAGCCATATAGCAAGAATCTTGCTGTGGATTGGACCAAGGACTTTGTCTATGATGAAATCAGGAGCTGGCTTCCCAGTTATCTGAGATGTTGCCTGCTTAGCAACCTCTTTTTAATTTTTAAAACATTTTCATTTATTTTGTGTATGTATGTTCATGTGATCATATGGCAGGGAGCACATGTGTAGGCCAGAGGAGAGCTTGCAGGAGTTGGTTTTCTCCTTCTTTTACGTAGTCTTGAGGATTGGACTCATGTCATGAGGCTCAGTGGCAAGTGCCTTTTGCCTGCTGAGCCACCTCACTGGTCCATTGGTACCTGCTTTTTTTCATAGATATAATTGAATTTACTATATAGATGTGTTTTCTTGGTGGCTTGTTTTCTGTCAACCTCACAAATCATCTTGCCTGAATTAGTAGTCATAGCCTTTGTACACTGAGTTCTTGGCAGTTTGCTTTAGTAATTATGTAGACATGAAGAACATTACAGTTTGTCTCTTACTGCCTCTATTAATTAAATACCTCTTTAATGTAAGCAAAAGATTGTTTAGAACAGGGCTTCTCCTGTTATTTTATAGCCTGAGAGCCATTGCCTTTTGTATTTTTAAATACCTATAAAAGATCATTAATTTTGCTTTTTGATAATTTTTTGTTTGTTTGTTTTGTTTTGTTTTTGAGGCAGGGTTTCTTTGTGTAATAGTCCTAGCTGCCCTGGAACTAGCTCTTATAGATCAGGCTGGCCTCGAACTAACAGAGATCAACCTGCCTCTGCCTCTCTAGTGCTGAAGTTAAAGGTGTGCGCCACCACTGTCTTCTAAACAGGGGACTTTCTCTAAATTGAAAAGCATATGCTTTAGTTCACCTCACTGAAGCAGGTGAAAGGGAGTTTGTATTGGTTGATTCTTCCCCATTCCCAGCTCTGCCTTAGCAAGATGTTTTCTAGCTGCCATGTTGTGGACCCACTGTCTGCTCACACGGTGATAATCCTGGATCCAGGAGGTGCTGGAGAAAGGTGCCAGCCAGTTGTACAAGACTACAGGATTGATATGCTGTAACTTCCGGTCTTACTCTAAGGCAGGCTAGCATAAAGGAAAAGAGTCTAACTGTGTGCTGACTTACTGCTCATTGCACTTGTTTTTAGAAAGAAATCCTTAGCCAGATTCACTTCAGGAAATCATTAATCCACTTTTCTCTTCCCTTCTCTGTTATGATCAGATCCACTTCCTGTATTTTGTTTGTTTCTCATTAAACAAGTTTTAGATAACCTTGTCATTATTAGCATTATTATGTTGAGCTTTCTTGATACAAAAATTCAAAATTCATAATGTTTTAAAATCTAAAAGTTTTTATGTACCTTCGTTGTGTTTTATAAGCTAGGTTGTAGCCAAACTTCAGTTCACACTAAAAATAATATATATAAATAAATAATATATATATTATATATATAAAGTTAACTTATGTGTATAAAGTGTGAAATGTAGATGCATTCTATGTTTAGACTTGGGTACTAAGATATCTTAGTGTGTATATATGATTATTTCCATAGCTGGAAAAAAACCCTAAATTTGAAACACTTCTTTTTACCAGGTATGTCAAATGAAGGATATTTAATAGAAGTTAATGGATAATTGTAATCTAATGGATACATTTAACAAACTACACTGTAAATACTTTATTTAGAGTATGCTTTTATACCTTAAGTGTGATTAAACTTTATTGCATTTTAAAAGCCTTTCCAGGATCTGGCAGGTACCTTTAGTCATTATTATAGACATTAGCTTGTCATTGCAATACGCCTACATAGGTTGGCCTCAGTGAGACTGAGGCAGTCTTTGGCCAAGTCACTGCAGTCAACATAATTGGATTGCGGCATGACTGCTTTATGCTGGCTTACCAATTCCTGAGGTTTGGCGCATGATCAAATTTTGTGTTGCAACAGATGGGATCCGTTAGAATACAGTGAACACGATAGAGTCAGCATTGTGGAAGCGTCAGTGACGCGGCCTCTGAAATGTAAGATTATTCCGGCAGTGGTCTAGTAAAGTGGGTGAGTTTGGGGTCGTTTTTTTTTTTTTTAATGTGCTATGAAGAAGGATTTCAGATGGACTTGAGTAGTTTATTTTGAATACGTCTCTTCTTGTTAACCTATTAGCAGAAAAGAATTAGAAAAATACTTATGAAAATAAGGCAGTTTATGAAGATAACACTTCTTTACTTTGGCTCTAACTGCTGGGCAGTGCTTTTCACCAGTGCCGCTCGAGAGGGGTTCTTCCTCATTTAGAGCAGAAAGTGACGGGATTGAAATCCCAGCTGTCATTGCCTGCTTGCTGTAATACATTTTGTGCTTTTTAAAGTAAGTCCAAATAAATTAAAATGATTTCCTTTTCAAAGTATTACAGCAAGAAATGAGACATCAAAACCCAGCCTTTGTATCTCTGATAAGTGTATTAATTAAGTGAAAGGTCTCTATTTAAACATGATAACTGGGTAATAAAATATGTGCTAGAAACTTTACATGTGAGAAAGGTGGGTTAAAGTGGTCTGAGCAAAGGCAGAGATGCTTCCTGTTCTGTAATTAAGCTAAAGGAGGTTTTCCAACCTCCTTCCCGTGAATGGCTGTGAAGGCTGATTTCAGAGTTCAGGACTGGGGATATTTTCATTTAGTTTTAAGTTTCCATGTCATTTTTCCCACTATAGCTAAAAGCATATGCAGGTAAAGATGAATGCTGGAGTTGATGAAACACGTTCAGATCCAGCCGGCACAGCTAGAAAATGGTCAGCCTCCAGCAAAGCTTCCCACCTCTGAATTTTTCCTATAGTTCTAGTTAGAATTTTGGAATGGATGTTTAAGGAACCATGCTTCTTGAAGCTGGTCTGAGAAGCCAGGAAGGCTGAATTAGCAGCAGAAACCAGGCTAGTCTGACTGTGGCATGTTGAGATAATACGCCACTGTAGAGATGCCAACATAAATGAAGCCTGTGAGTACAGATGGATGGAGTGGATCCTGAGCCCTTACAACACTAGTGCTGTTCTTGTTCGAGTACAGAGAAGGATATGCAGATCCAAGGCTTGCATGCTAGAGGTCAGACAGCAACAAATGGAACGGCCTCACAGTGCAGGGAGAAGAAATGCTAGCAAGAAAAATGAAGTATTTTTAAAACTTTGAGGCTTGGGGAAAAGAAGATGAACAATGTGTCTGTGACAGTGTTGTCAAGATTTTCAGAGACTTGGCGTTGGCTGTTCTTGGCAGAGCAGGGTCTGGTGGGGAGAAAGGCCGATTTCTTACACCCTTTTGTACTGCTTGAGTTTGCTATGTGTGTAAGGAAACCTATGTTTATATAACCTGCTTTTGGCATTAAATAGTTTTATGCATGCATTCTGTGTCTTAATGTTTAAAATATTTTTATAGGGCTGGAGAGATGGCTCAGAGGTTAAGAGTACCAGCTGTGTGCGCTTCCAGAAGTCTGGTGTTCAATTCCCAGCAACCACATGGTGGCTCACAACCATCTTTAGAGGGATCTGATGCCCTCTTCTGGTGTAAAGGCATAGTACAGTTAGCACACTCATACATAAAATAAACAATCTTTTAAAAAAGAAAAGTCTTTAAAAAAACCATTTTTGTATTGATAGTTGCTCTGCTTAATTGAGCCTTATATGCAGTTTTCTTTTTTTTTTTTTTTTTTGAGACAGGGTTTCTCCGTAGCTTTTTTGGTTCCTGTCCTGGAACTAGCTCTTGTAGACCAGGCTGGCCTCGAACTCCCAGAGATCCGCCTGCCTCTGCCTCCCGAGTGCTGGGATTAAAGGCGTGCGCCACCACCGCCCGGCCCTGCAGTTTTCTTTAATGTATTTATTAAATACCATGAAAAGAAAAATCTGTCTGAAGAATCTAAAATTTTGAATCCATGTAGCTTGCTTCCAACCTATATTCTTTAGGATATGAACTAAAAATTCTTGATATTTTGTTATAACTTTTATTTCAGTTTTATGGTGTTTACTTTTGATTCCACACATCACTGAACTTAGAAAACCCTGTTGAGATTGTTCATCTCCCCACAAAATAAGAGTCAGCACGCTGAACGCCTTCTTGATCTTCCTATCTCTCTTTTTTTCTAGTTGGATGAAAAATCAGACAAACAGTATGCTGAAAATTACACAAGAGTGAGTATAAAATTCTTGATGGGATGGAGCACTCAAGGTCAGCCCCGCGCTTCCTGGGACTCATTGGTTTTGTTCAGCATTATTGGCCAGTGGAGCTGCTCTTCCCATCCTCTGTTTCCTGTGCTTGACCTTCAAATTCCTCCAGCCTTAGATCATGTGAAAGCCCTGGGAAGAGAGAAGCCACATCTTATTTCACAGGACGTCATCCCTAAAGCTCTTGGCTACTCTTTTGATTCCCACTCCCTAAAAACTGATATTGAAAAGCCATTAAACATGGAAATGAAGTATCTAGGAATGAACCAACAAACCCATAGCTTTGATTTTTTTCCTTATAGATAACTCACTTCTCTAAGAAAAGTAGAACTCCCTTGTAGAGGAGTGCCTCTGTAGTAAAGTTTCTGCTTTCTAAACATTTTTTAAGAAGCCAGGGAAATGATCTACTGTATTAAATTTTATAATGCCAAGCAAAACTATAAGTCTATGCAGTTTTAATTTTTTAAGCCACACTCTAGAAAAAGCATTATAATAGTCGACCCACATGACCAACACATTTCAACATAGAATCAATGTAGATGTTCTGTTTTGTGATATTTGAGTCAGGGTCTTGGTATATAACCTAGTATATAACCCTGACTTCTGCCTCAGCCTGTTGCTTGAATTGCAGAACTGCACCACTGTGCTCCACTTAAAATTATTATGATGTACTTTGTTCCCTCTTCCTTCTGCAACAAGCCCTCAAAATCTGTGTATATTATACTTACATCTCATTTGGACTCACTAAATTTCAGGTGATTTCTTTTGACTTACAAGTATTCCAGATAGCACAGGTCTCTGCTATTTGTTAGTCAAGAGTGTGGTTTTGGAGAGAACAGTCTAAACTTATAGCGTGTACAGTGTTCTTTTCTTGCTCTTGGCTACAAATAGGTTCATCTTTCTCGGCAGAGATGAGCTGCTTAAGCAATGTTAGGAGCAAAAGTAGGGAAGTGCTAATTAGACATTAGTTATGAATTTCTAAAACAACTTTAAATTAGCCTGGCAGCTCACCTGAGTGGTGTTTGAATGTGACAAAAGCCTAGAATACAAAAGCTTCTATAAAAATTATTTTCACCTATGAATTTTGAATTTTAGATTCTGATAGTATTTGAGGTAATGAAATGGTACTTGGTATGACTAGCCCCTCTTCTCTCTGCAGACCTATCTAGGCTGACAGTGTGAACTGCTCCTAGTGGTCTTCTTGACCTTGTTGTTAGAATGTTCATCTGAAGCTCACCTGCTCTCACCACTCTGCCCAGGTTCAGTCTTCACAGCAAACGGTTTTAAAGAACAGCTTACAGTGTCATTGTCTCTCTTTTTCAGCCTTCATCTCGAAATTCTGCCTCAGCCACAACACCTCTAAGCGGAAACTCATCCAGACGGGGCAGCGGGGACACCAGCAGCTTAATAGACCCAGACACCTCGTTAAGTGAACTGCGGGTAAACCATAGTTTGTCTGCCTTGGCAAAGCAGCTTTGGTTTCTTTGTAGTTCATGGAGCTTTTAACATTTAATGTGACTTATGAGGAACAAACAGAGTTTCTGTAAATGCCTGGTCATCATCATCACAGCTCAACATCCCTCTTGGATGTTTCAGAGCAGAAAGGAAGGGATTAGATCATTCTTCAGTTATCTTTCCTGAAGATGTGATGGCATTGGAATGGGTTCAGTCAATGACAAACAGTTATGTAACATATATGAAAGTAATTCTTTAAGAAAAAGACCTTGCCATGTTTTAATTGGAAAATTATTAGCCTTTGACTATGAAAATTATTAGCCTTTTGAGCCATTATATTAGGTACTTAAATATAATTTCTTAGTATTTCATACTAAAGTATAGTATTTGGTCAGCAGAAATGCCTGAGCTAGTAGTAAGTTTACTTGATCCATTAGTTACATCTCCATCCTTATAAACCCTTTTATTTGGAAGACGAGAATGTACCAAAAATTATGTTGATTGTCTTGTTTGCTGAATCTGTTCTGAGTAATAGATCAAGACTTGTGAGAAAAACTGCAATCACCTACCCACTCACTCATTCTCTCTTGTTTGTGAACACTTGGCAGTGGACATGTAGACAGCCAATCATGTTCTGCCCTTCAGGAGATCACTGTTCACTGAAAAGATTCTAACTGGTTAAACCAGCTAATACTAGACAGTAATACCAAGAACAGGATAAGTTAGTTCAGACAGGCATTGTGTAAATTTGACTAGGAACAGAGAGAGCACAAGACTTTTCAGAGAAGCAAGTTCAGAGCTAAGTCTTGAAGGAAGAATAAAAATAAAGCAAGGAAACTGGAGGGGAGTCTCTCTTGAATGAATTCAGAGAACTTGAGGGTTATTGGTTTAGAAGACTTGGAGAGTTTAGGGTAACAAGGAAGGAGGAATTGCTGGTGAAAGAAAGCAGGGGGTGGGGGTGAGGTGAGGATCTGGGAGTACAAATCACAACTTGCTGTATTGGATAGGAGAGCAGTATGATTTGATTTGCATTCTTAAAAGTAACTCTAGCCACAGTCCTGAGGGAGCATTAGATGACAGGAGAACATAACCCAAGGCTTGAACAGTGAGGAAGGAAGAAGTGGGCAAGTGAAAACTTCAGGGGAGGAAATGCAAGCGGCTGGCCCTGAGGTGACTTTGCAACACTAGGATTAGGATGGGCAGTCAGTCAAGAGAGATGGAAGATCAAACAGGTATCTGCTTTGTTTATTTTCTTTCCTTTTCTTTTTGTAAAGTAAGGTTTCTTATATTTCTATGGGTTGGCTGGAGCAGGTGGGAAGGGAGGCTGAGAGTTGAGGGAGAGCAGGCTTACCTGGAGGCCATGCCTGTGGCCATGCCTTTCCACTGCCACTGGGCAGGCGCCTGTCTGTGAAAGAGCAGGGCAGCGGGTGAGGAGGAGTTGTAGAGCTGTGGCAGGCAGGAGAGTCGATGGGTGGCATCTATGCCTTGGGAGATGTCAGTGTTCTCCCAATAGTTTGAACTATTGACCAGAGTTTGAATAAGGAAAGTCTTGCTTTAGGGGCTGCATTCTCATGAGACAGAAGGACACTGAGACAACTTCTTCCAGTCTTGGCCTTAGGTTGCTCTTTTATAGACTTAGCCTTTACCTTTTTCCCTTGAAAGAATAATCTCTGAGAAAGAGATGAGCTTTTGGTTCCTAGTGCCTGACTCCTGATGGACCCCTAGGAAAATGCTTGTTGAATGGATCAGTGAGTGCAAGGCCGGCTCCCCTATCACAGAGGGAAAGCACAGAGCAAGATGGTCTCCAGCAGTCCATCCTGCTGCCGTTGCTGCACTCAGAGTCCTGTTGCAGTTATAGCCTACCTGACTCTACATGACGTGATTGGACTTAATAAATAATATTTTCCATTTAAAAGTTGGCTTATTTTTTTAAAGAAGAATTTATGGAAACATTTGGAGCAAATGCTCTTCTCATCACTTTAAAGATATCCTCTGAGTAGAATTTACCACTGGAAATTGTTTTCTTGTGTTTAGTTTCCTTCTCTTTCTCCCAAATTAATGACTCAGTAGCTAAGTGATTTAAAAGTAACATAGTTTTTATACTGTATTGTTTTTTAAAACTTACGCATGAAGAATAAAATTTGTTTTCAATTAATTTACTATGTATTTACCAGTGTAAGTGAAGTATTATACTAAAAATATTTGTGATTTATAAATTAAAAACATATTTTAAAAATGTTAGAATATATATATTGCCATATCTATATATCTATATCTCCATTTTCTAGTGCTATTTTCAAAAAATTCAGTGTCAAGGAAGTATTGATACTAGATTGATTTCTCTGGTTCCACTGTCATCTGAAGGATTTGCCTCTTGCAGTGGTTTGGGAATGGGGGGTGGTATTCACATTTTTATGTTTGAATTTCTCTAGTTTTAGTTGAACTAAGTTGTATTTTCATCTGATTACTTTGAGTTTTAAGATATATTTTGCGACGGTTCATTCTTATGTCCTGCAGGACATCTATGACCTGAAGGACCAGATACATGATGTAGAAGGGAGATACATGCAGGGACTTAAGGAACTGAAGGTACAGGGCTCCTCGTAGCCCACGCATGCTCTGTATGCAGAAGTGTTGGTAATTGTGGTCCCAGAGTCCATTAACCGGCTGCTCATGGCTTTACTAACAGTGTGTGTCCTTCCAGCATGTGCTTACCCGGCAGTACACAGGACAGGGCAGCTCGCCGTCGGGGCTGATTAGTTTAGATGGTAGTGTAGGTTTGGGGGAAAGTTGGAGCAGAAGATTCTATAACTTGTACTTTTATTATTTTGAGACAGGGACTCTCTGTGTAGCCCAGGCTGGTCTCTTTGCCTTTGGTCCTCTTGCCTTGGCCTCAGTGCTGGGATTCTAAATGTGTGCTGCCATAGCCAGCTCGTTACAGTTTCTATGACTTGAAAAATTTTAGTTGTCTCTTGGGTCTTAACCATACAACATTAGACAAACACCTAAAATATTCTAAGGATATTTTTTACTGAGAACTGGACCTTGAAAGTCTCCCCAGCTCAATGAAAGCATTGCCTGATTCTGCCACCAAGTCCAGTCAGTCTTAGAAGTGGGGAAGCCTTAAAGAAGGGACCTAAAGGCATGCATACTGATTCTTTTCTTACCTGTATATAAGTTAAGATTATTTATGTTAGTGTGTTAAAGAATTCAGAGCTGGCAAGGTGGTTCAGTGAGTGAAGTACCTCGCCACCGAGCCTGATGTCCTGAGTTGGATCCCTGGAACCCACAGGTAGAAGGAGAAAACTGCCACCAGCAAGTTATCCTCTGCCTCCACATGTGTGCCCTGGCATTTGTGTATACACACACACATACACACACACACACACACACACACACACACACACACACACACGTACAAAATAATGTAATTTAAAAATTAAGAGATCTAATCTTAAAAAAATAATTTGGAGGTCAGTTTGAATGGCCTGTATCTCTTCCCAACAAGGATGTCTGTACTTGAAGTGTAAATGTGTCAGGCGTTCATTTGATTATGCCTCCCACCCCATGTTTCAGTATATAGTTCAAGCTGGATATTGGGAAGAAACTAGAGGTCTCATTAAACATGACAGGTGTTAGATGCAAACACCAGCAAGCCTCTAGAGGAGCGAATGCAAGGCACTCTGATAGGTGAGTCAGCACAGCCACACATGGTACCAAAAAGGACGAGAGTTCTCCTGTGAGGTGTGCCCCTGGGAGCCTGAGGTGAGCTGTCGGTAAACATCAGCAGAACTCAATCAGTTAATGGGCCCATTTATTTTTACTAATCTAAATTTTAAGGTTTAATCCCCCCTTTAGGGCTTAGTGGTATAACTTACATCTTGCATCAAGGGAACAAATCTGGTACATTAGATACATATATACTTTCTTAATGTCTTATACAACAGCACAGCCAGACAGTGATCACATGATTCAGAGGAATTCCTAACTTTTTTGTTGTTGTTTATTTTATTTAAAACATTTTCCTCTTATTTTATATTATAATTTATGAAATTCCTTGAATAAAAGTGCCAACAAATTTGAAATTTGAACAGGTAAGATGCCGTCTCTTAATTCTTTTCTGTGAATGATTGGACTTGACTTTAGATTTTTATTTATCCTTGAAATGATTCATTTAATTGGAAAAATTGCAACAAAAATGTATCTGGTTGGTGACTGACCGTGGTGTTGTGGCATATCCTACTAAAAAGGGCTGTTGCTTTACAGCTCATAATGTTGTCCATGATTATTATGTTTACTTTTGGAGTATTTTCCCTAGACTCCTGCCACCCTTCCTTTAATAAGGGGTGTTATAATGTTTTCTCCATGCCATAGAATAGCCTGGTAGTGTGCACTATTGCTCAGAAAACAGTAAAATAGTATTAAAAAGGATAAATGATATAAACATCTTTAATGATTTTATAAAGGACTAAACCTATTTTAAAAACTATAATACTTTATTGAATTTTAAAACAGAATTATAGAGATTCATAAAATAACACAATTTACCTGTTTTTAGTGAGTACAAGTTTTTCCTGACATTGAAAAGGTAGGAAGCTGTTCTGTGATGTTTCACTCTTTTGGCTTTTTGGTCTTTTGGTGGGGCTCACCACCCAGCTCCCAAATAAATCACACATGGGGGCTTATTCTTAGTTATGAATGCCTGTCCTTAACTTGGCTTTAACTTTTAACTTTCCTTAACTTAAATTATCCCGACCTCCTTTTGCCTCTGGGCTTTTTCCTTCACTTCTGTATATTTTACTTTAACTCTTACTCCTTTGCTGTCTGCGTGGCTGGCCGGCCCCTAGTGCCTTCCTCTTCTTGTTCTCTTGCTTCCCCTCTTCCTCGGGTCTCCTTCTGTTTATCCTCTCTGCCTGCCAGCCCCACCTCTCCCTGCTCCTGCCTCACTATTGGCCATCCAGTTCTTTATTAGAGCCATCAGGTGTTTTAGACAGGCAAAGAATCACAGCTTCACAGATAAACAAATGCAGCGTAAACAAAAGTAACACACTTGAAAATAATATTCCCCAACAGGAAGTTGTGGAACAAAATGTATGTATATAGTTCATATTAAAATAGGCGAGGGTGTGTGAGAACAGGAAACAGCCTGACTCATGGCACTGCTGCCTCTGCTTGGAGTATGGGCAAGGAAGAATTTTGCTTTATAATTTTTTTCTCCCCATAAAATCTTGCCACCTTTTTTGCTTAGGTATTTTTAAGAGCAGTTTTTAATTGGTAGTTAACATTTCAGAATTATTAGATTATTAAAACCTAGTGTTAAAAAATAAAATAAAATAAAAAAAAAGCCGGGCGGTGATGGCGCACGCCTTTAATCCCAGCACTCGGGAGGCAGAGGCAGGCGGATCTCTGTGAGTTCGAGACCAGCCTGGTCTACAAGAGCTAGTTCCAGGACAGGCTCCAAAACCACAGAGAAACCCTGTCTCGAAAAAAACCACAAAATAAATAAATAAATAAATAAAATAAAACCTAGTGTTACATTAACTTTCTCTGGGGACACTTAGTGCAACTGGTCTACTCACCTCAGATAGCACAACAGCAGCAGCCCAGCTTGTGAAGCTGGTGAGCTTCTGGGGTATACTTCCAGGGGTGTGGGTGACCCCCAGACAGTCCCTTCACTGAAAAGTCACCCCATCAGGGATTTAGCCTTCGCCATCGCTGGAGGGAGCGTCTATGCCATCGCTGCATAGACGCTCCCTCCAGTCCATATTCCATAGTCTATATACTCGTGCGCCTTCCTAGATTCTGTGCATCTGGAGCAGAAGTATATTCAGCTGGCAGGGAGCTGCAGAGGGGAGGGAGTGGCTGGAAGTTTTAAGTGAGGATCTAATGACCTCTCTTCACTGTTTGTTATGAGAAAATGTCAACAGACCCAATCATTTCTTTTTTCTTTTAAATAGGTGTATTTGTGTGTGCGCAGGTAGAGGCCAGAGGTACTAGAGTCACTGTTAGCTGCCTTACCTGGACGCTAGGAGCCAATATTTCCTCTTAACTGCTAAGCCATCTCTCCAGCCCCAACAGGCCCAATCTGTTGTGGTTAATTCCAATTGCTCTGATTAAGATACTAATTGCAGTTACGCTGAGTGGATGTGTTCCACAATAACTGTCTGACCAACCTGCATTCCTTCAGTCTCTTTGTGTGGTTTTCTTCTGTGAGATGAAGAGGCTTGGAAAATAGTCCCTGCTTTGACAGAGTTACCTACACAGGGAATTGCCTGCAGTAAGGCAATGTGGAGAGCTTGAAAATGTTCAATAAATGCTTTTATTATCAGGTATTAGTTATGACATTATTCAAGAACCTTAAAACCTAATGCATTTCTAACTGACACTGGTGTTTCATATCTGAGTACTGAACAAACAAACAAACAAACTGAAGTCAAGGTGGTTATGGGGAGACAGGAGAGAAGAAAGAGGAGAGAGAAAAACACCTTTGGATGAACCAGGCTCAGTGGTACTCACTTGAAGCCGTAGGTACTTGGGAGGCTAAAACAGGAAGATTACTTGAGCCTGTGAGTTCAAGACCAGTCTAAATGGCATAGCAAGAACCCCTATCTTGAAAAAAAAATCAACTAAAATAAACTTTGGGTAAGCAAAACAGCAAAAACCCAAACTATAAGATTTCAGATACCAGGATCTCAACCATATAGATTTATAAAAATGTAGCATTCAGAATTCCTCTCAAAAACTGAGAGGCACAGCTGGACACTTCCCTTAGGCAGCTAGAATCTTTGCATCCTTACTTGTTGCTAGCTTCAGGAAGCAACCACTTGTGTCCAGCATAATCTTGATCTAACCAGAACAATCCTAGCTCCAAGAGATGAAGACACAGTTCTGGCTCTATGTCTGTGAGGTCCCCAACCCAAATTTAGCATCCTTTATTCTTCTAATCTCAGAAAGTATATATTGCCTTTCCAAGGATTTGACATTTTGGTGGCAAGCAGTTAAGATTCATTAGTTCCTTAGAATGTGCTGTTCACTATCTCAGCCTTTTATCAGTTTGTTGTCTTTGTTCAGCTAGGATTTGAGAGGTTGAGAACAAGAGCAATGTATCTGTCTTTGTATAAATTGTCTGATATAAGTACTGCTTCATTTTTATTGATTAATTTTATGACTTTCCAGATAATGTTCTTCTGTACATACCTTTTATTTGTAGGAGAGCAAGAATAGATTATCTCTTTAAGTCCAGAAAAAAACTGTTGAATGAAGAGTTAATGGACTAGGAGAAGAAATCTTATCAGCTATAAGTTGGTCAGTATGTGAAGTGTCTACTTTATGTAGGGTACTAAGAATAAAATAATGAAGGCACTTCCTGAACTAGTAGTAAGAGGGCTTCACAACTGGGTTATAAATGCTTATTGGGGGAGTAGTTGGACATAGATAATCAAAGCTTAAACATTTATACTGTGGCTTCAAAATGTGGGTGTACTCCAGAGTCACCCCATGATACTTAAAATAGCAATCTCCAGTCTTTCCCTCTGGATCTGGTATTCAATGGACCTGGGAAGGATAAAAAAAATTGTTTTCATAAAACTTGACTAAGAATGTAAGTGAGATTAGGATATTTTTCTACCTTGGCACTTTAGAAGTCTCTCTTAAAAATATTTTTATTGGGCTGGAGAGATGACTCAGAGCCCTGACTGCTCTTCCAGAGGTCCTGAGTTTGATTCCCAGCAACCACATGGTGGCTGACAAACTGTGAGCCATATAATCTCTATAATAAGATCTGGTGCCCTCTTCTGGCAGAACATAATAAATAAATAAATCTTTAAAAAATTATTTTTTTAATGTTTGTGTATATGACTGGTTGCCCACAGAGGCCAGAAGAGGCATCAGAGTTTTAGAGTTGGAGACACAGGTACAGATAGTTGTGAGCTGTCTGTAATAGGTGCCAGAAATCAAACTTGGGACTTTTAGAAGAACAGCAAGTGTTCTTAGCCACTGAACCATCTCTCCAGCCCCATTTTAAGAGTTTGTTATGTGCTTTTTACAGGGAAATCATCTTGTACTAATTTCACATGGACCTGTTTGCATCATGTATTTTGTTCATGTGCCTAGTTTTTGAGCTTCCTTTGATTCTGTTACCCATGGATTCACACCCCATTTTATATGCTACTGAACTGTGATAAGGATTTTTTTCTACTGCTAACTTCTTAGGTGATATTTGATATTATATAAATAGATACCATTGAATCTGGACCTTCTTATAGTTGACTTTTTAACATATGCTTTTAGTTAAATGTTTTCAATACAATTTTTAATCATACCTGTATTTAGTTCTGATTTGTGAAGCATAGAATTACTGGGTCAAATGGTTGGACATCTGAGAAACTGCCCAACTGTTTTCGGAGTAACCACTTCCACTTCCAGCAGCAGTATAAAGAATCCAGCTTCACCATACCCTCCCTAATCCTTTTTTCTTTCAAGGGGAAGGAGCTTGCTTGAGGTTGAGGTGTGGTCTCTTCTACTGGACATTTGGCCTCAGCCCTGAGCATAAAGATTTGATTATGGATTCTAGCCATTTTAATAGATGAGACATAGGATCACACTGGGTGTTTTTGATGCGCATCCCCTAATGAGTATCGGTGCTGAGCATGCATCCTTGTACTCCTTGGACATCCATGTGTGTACCCTCTTTGTGGATCTGCCTGAGTCTGTAATGTTCTGGATGGAAGTCAATTATCAGAACACTTACAAGTACTTCCTCCCATTCTGTGGGCTGCCATTGCAGTGTAAAGTTTTAAATTTTAATAAGGTCTCCCTTTTCTCTTTGACTAATAGTGCTCTTTGTATAATTTTGTTTAAGAAACCATTAACCACCCAGAGTCATGAAAACTGACTTCTGTATTTCCTTTAGAGTTTTAAGTTTAAATCTTTGGTTCGTTTTGAGCTACTTTTTGTGCATGGTGTTAGGTAGTCATTCATCTTCATTCATCAGAACAGGGCTGTCCCAGCATCATTCACTCTTTCCCTTTGGATTACATGGACACCTCTGTTGAAAAACTGATTATATGTTAGGTTCTGGAGTCCTAGGTCTGTTTTACTGATTTTGGTTTGTTAAACATTTGTACTCATTTAAAAAAGTATCTCCAAAAGTGATTACTTTTCTGAATGAGTTTTTCTTTTTATCTTTTAATAAGTCAATAGGCAATTGCAATTACAAAGTTACTTGTTTTAAAATATTGTATAGTATCTTAGGTAAAAATTTTTTAATTACTTAAAATTTCAGGCACTGTGCAATTATTCTTAAATAATTAAAAATGTTTGTCCCATTTGCATTAGTGTTAAGCACACTGAGGAAATACTGAAAACTGAAACCCAAGAATGGCAAAATTCCGAGAAGTGTGTGGTTGTGCTGAGAGAGGCTGTGTTCTCTCGAACTGCTGTGTTCTGAACACCAGACATCTACTTGTTGAAAACTACAAGAGAAGCTCCTCTTAAAATAAAAATGATTCTATCTACATTTACTACCTCTTAAAAACACGTTTTCTGCACACTTTTTCATTGCTGCTTTATTTTGTGTTCTTGGCATGCAAAGAGAATATTTCCCAGAAAGGCATTAGTGTCTTTCCTACCGTCTTTCTGTTACATGTGCACGCTGCTAAGCACAGAGTCCCTCGCCTGCTTGCCCTGTGTGGAAATGCTTCTTTATATGTGCGAGGTCATGCCACTCTTGTGCCACTCATGTGCAGCCACCAGGGTGTGGATATCAAGCTGATGATTCTTGTCATTTAGGAGTCTTTGTCTGAAGTAGAAGAGAAATACAAGAAAGCCATGGTGTCCAATGCACAGCTCGACAACGAGAAGAATAACCTGATCTACCAGGTGGACACCCTCAAGGACGTTATTGAAGAGCAGGAGGAGCAGATGGCAGAGTTTTACAGAGAAAATGAAGAGAAATCAAAGGTAGCTTGCACATCATGCATACTATCACTGTCTTGGTCCTGAAAAATCAAAGTCTGCCATTTGAAGAAGATAGGGTTGGCGGGAAACTACAGAACCAAATGGTCTGAGAAATTAGTCACTGCCCTAACAATTTTTTTTTCTGAAGGAAAACTTTTATCCTTTTTAAGTTTTTAAAAACTAGATTACAATTCAAGTAGCGTTTTTTGTTGTTTTGTTTTTTTTTTTTTTTTGAGAAAGGGTTTCTCTGTAGCTTTGGTGCCTGTCCCAGAGCTAGCTCTTGTAGACCAGCTGGCCTTGAACTCACAGAGATCCGCCTGCCTCTGCCTCTGGAGTGCTGGGATTAAAGGTGTGCGCTACCACTGCCCGGCTCCCAAGTAGTGTTGTTTTAGCTATGACAATGACTTGGAGTTGCTGCTTTCTTTCCATCATAAGTGGAACGACACAGAGCTTAGTGAGATAGGTAGTTTTTTTTTTTTTTTTCTGTGAGCTTCTGAGCTCTTCAAGAGACTCCACTTTCCAAATAAGCAGTTACTTAGAAACAGCAGTTTACAGATGAGCCAGACACGGACAGGGGTTTTCCTAAGAAGTTACGTACAGTTGGAGAATAAAAGCCACTAAGTGCCAGATTTGCCCCTGTTCAGCTGTAGCAAAGAAACTGGGGTGTGTTAAGAGTTTCTTGAACCTGGAAATTTTAAAGTGTTGGTGTCTAAGCATAGAATAAATGGATATTATTGCCAGAGATTAGTTACTGCTTTATTGCTAATACAGAAAAAAAGTAAGAAAACGTTTTAGGAAATATGTGTTGATTGAATTGTTGGAAACAGTCATCTGGATTGTGCGTAGTAAGGGAGCCAGTTGTGTTGTGTTTGATGAACTTCCATGGTGATGGTTTCCAGAGCAGGCTCGCTGATTGAACTGAGTGTACTGCTCAGGTGTGTACGTTAGTGACATAGCAGAGACTGCAGCTATGGGGACAGGAGATATATGGTAGTTTCCTCTCAGTTTTTCTGTGAACCCACAGCTACTCTCTAAAGGCCTATTTGAAAATGCCGCTAGGGTCTAGGTGTGTGAAAATAAGGTATCTTCCATGTTAGGTCAGTGATGGCCCACAAAGAGGATGCTTTGGAGACAGTAACTGCGTTACTCTTTGGTATTCTATCCTAGAAAGCAGTTCAGAGGATTCTGAATCACCATGCATACTTGATGTGCCTCTTACAGTAGAATGCCATCTGCACAGATACACAGAGGGGCCAGCTTCTCTGATGTGCCTCCTGGCAGCAGATGCTGAGAGCTCTGTACTCAGCATGTTGAAGTTGTCACCAACCCTGTATGGTGGGTGAAGTGGACCCAATTCTACAAATTGTGCTTGGACCTCCATGTTTGTTTGTTTTAATACACAAATAGTAAATGTATATTTTAAATTTAAAGATGTTTTTAGTTCTTCTTGTTGTTATCATAATAAATGCATCCTTTACTTATTCGTTTTCTTTAGGTTTTTGTTTTGTTCTTTGGAGACAGGGTTTCATGTACCTAGGCTAGCTTCAGACTTGCTAAGTAGCCAAAGATGATCTTGAGCTCCTAGGCCTCTTGCTGCCAGGTGCTAGATTTCAGGGCTGCCCCACCCTACCCAGCTTAGTAGCTCCAGCTTTAAACTTGTCTCTATGCCTGTGTCAGCAGCAGAGCCCCTGACTAGGAATGTGTGGGGTGTGTTCTCGGGACTGGGGGCATAGCTCAGCTGATAAATGCCTGGATACCTAGGCCTTATGTAAAAGCCTGGTATGGCAGCACACATCTGAGTGTTCTGGGGAGTGACAGCTGAATGGATGGATTCCTGCAGCCCACAGGCCAGCCAGCCCATGCAGTCCATGAGCTCCAAGTTCAGTAAGAGACTTGTCTCAACAATAGGGTGGGCACCAACTGAGAAAGAATCTGACATTAACCCATGGTTCTCCCATACACATGCACATACGTGCAGGTACATCCGTTCATACACGTACATACCACAAACATACAAAAGTTTATTTTCTTAATACTTCTTTTAATAAGGAACTAGCTTAGTGACATTTAAACACGTTATTACTCGATGGTTAAGCATACTTGCTGTTCTTCAAGGTGACCCAAATTTAGTTACCAGCACCCATGAGATACCAGTACCATGAGGTAGCTCACAACCACTTGTAACTCCAGTTCCAGGGGACCTGACACTCTTCTGGCCTCTGTAGGTGCCGGTATGTGGCACACATGCATGCATGCATGCAAATATTCACACATATACATAAAATAAAAATAAATCTTTAAAAATTTCTCTTGGTTTTGAGCATAGAAGAAGTATGTAGAGACTCTAATGAGTCCATCAGCTTTTCATTGCTACTTTTCCTCTTTCCTTGGAGGAATTCTTTTTATTTTCTATTTTTCTTAAAGATTCATTCCTTTATTTTGTGTATGTATATACACTACATGCATGCCTGGTGCTTGTGTAGGTCATAAGAAGGAATTGGATCCTCTGGAAGTAGAGTTAGAGATGGCTGTGAGCCACCATGTGTGTGCTGGGAACCAAACTCAGGCCCTCTGCAAGAGCAGCAAGTGCTCTTACCCGCTGAGTGATCGCTCCAGCCCTTGGAAATTCTTTTTAAGTTTAGTGATTCATCTTTTCTTTTTATAAGCCAAGAAGGCATATTAGCCAATTTTTATTAAAAAAGACATACAGCATTTGAAATACATCTCAACACATGTATTTGTGGCCCTCCTTTCCTAGAAACTGGCAGCCTGCTGTAAATGCTGCTGTGCTTGGAGCACACATATCTACACTCCTGTACATAGTGGTTATTCCATTGTGCAGACACTGCTCCACCAGCTCCCAGCTCATGGGCGTTCAAGTTGTTTGCAGTACTTGCTTTCCTGAAGTCATCCTGCAAAACAATATATTTGTATTTATAAGCTGCTTTGGTTTTTCTCTGGTTTTCCCGGTGTATCTGTGATAGAGAGCCATGGTGGGTGGATCCACGGAGTCGTCTTTTGTAAGCCACAGGTGGTGACACTCAGACTGCTGTGTGTTCTCTCCCTTGAGAATATTTCATATTGGAGCTGTTCCCTTCTTGTTTCCAGGGCTTTAGCTTGGCTTTCCTTGTTGTTAGTTTTATTTTTGTTATTTTATTTGTCTCATTTTAGGAATTCTTCAAATGGAAAAATAGGAATAAATCTTTGTCTCTGAACATAAATTATAATTTCTTGTGTAGCTTGTCATTCCTGTTATTATTTTGTGGTAGCTTTTGCTATTCTAAAAATTTTAATTTTTATGTAATCTTTTCTATCACTTACATTTTATTGTTTTGGATATTGGAATCATTTAAAATAGTCTCCTGTACACTACAGTTACTCATTTTTAAAAAGTACCTACATTTTGCTGTTCTTCTGTTGCTTTTCTTGCCTTCATTATACAGGATGGAGATTTAAAGTTTAACCCTTTTCACCAAATGCAAACCATCCATCCAGGCATGACTCTGGAAGTCAGACTTGGCCCCTGTGTTCAATGACATTTGTTCAGCTTTGTATCCCCTGACCTCTGTAACAATATCATTTGCTTAATAACAGGAGTTAGAAAGGCAGAAACATATGTGCAGTGTGTTGCAGCATAAAATGGATGAACTCAAAGAAGGCCTTCGGCAGAGAGACGAGCTCATTGAGGTATGTACTTGAACTGCTGAAATATTTGATTCTGAAAAACAGACGAGTTGGGTAGGGTAGTGGCGTGTTTGTAGGGAGACTGTTACAGTGTTATAAAGCAGTGGGTAGGATAGTGGTACAGTGTTATAAAGCAGTGGGTAGGATAGTGTTACAGTGTTATAAAGCAGTGGTTCTCAACTTCCTAATGCTGCAGTTCTTTAATACGGTTCCTCATGTTGTGGTGACCCCCAGCCATAAACTTACTTTATTACTACTTCATAACTGTAATTGGCTAGTGTTATGAATCATAAAACAGCTGTGCTTTCTGATGCTCTTAAGCGAGCCCTGTGAGAACTGAGCGACCCACAGGTTGAGAGCTGCTGCTATAAAGATGGTCATGAGCAACCCCTGTGGAAGGGTGCTGCTAACTGCCTCTAGAGATCATGACCCACAGGTTGAGAGCCGCTGCTATAAAGAGTTTACTTGTGTAAACATTTATCTCTCAAAAATTTTCCAACATAAAATATAAAGGCAAGCTTAACAAGTGAATGCTTACAGATTCTATAAAATCCCTCCTTTACTAGCCGGATTTTTGGCAGTGTCTTTTATTCTTAAGCACGCTCGCCTGCAGATATCATAGGAAGTTAGAAAAGGAAGCATTATGGAGTATATTCTTGGGGTCCTAGGGCATGGCTTACAATAGGACATGATTCTTGAGGAGTAAGAATTTTGATCTTTACTCAAGTTAATGCCTTTGAGGCAGCTGAAGCTGAAGAAGAGGTGAAGTTGTGAGATCTCAGCTCTCTGCAGCGGAGGAGCTCTGCAGCACACTAAGGCGGCATCGCAGTGCAGGAGGGTGACCCACCGCAGCTCAGCGCGTTTGCGCACCACCCCGCTGTGGCTGACTGTCTCAGTTTTTAAGAATTACATGGGAGAGGATAACTGTAAAGCTGGATTTCTGTAATTTATCATCAGGGTGCTACTTACAAACTTGGAAAGCCTTGGTCTTTTTATGCTTACAATTTCTGACCTTTGGATGTCAGTAGCTACTGATCATGCACGACTGAAAACTGTGTATCACACACAGTGCCTTTGGGTCTCCAGAATTAAGATGTACACAATCAGGTGGAGAGGGTGCGAGTAGGAGGAGAGTGTTGCTAGTTGTTTATCAGTGGCAGCAGGGACAGGTAAGATGTTAGGACAAGGACTTGCTCTGCTTGTTTACCCGTGACAATGGGGAACACAGTAAGATGTTAGGACAAGGACTTGCTCTGCTTGTTTACCCGTGACAATGGGGAACACAGTAAGATGTTAGGACAAGGACTTGCTCTGCTTGTTTACCCGTGACAATGGGGAACACAGTAAGATGTTAGGACAAGGACTTGCTCTGCTTGTTTACCTGTGACAATGGGGAACACAGTAAGATGTTAGGACAAGCACTTGCTCTGGTTGCTTTCTGTTGATGTGATAACATCCATGGCTGGAAGCAACTTAGGTGGGGAACAAATTTATTTCACCTTATCAGGTCACATTCCATCACGGAGGGAAGTCAGGGCGGGAACCTGAAGGCAGGACTGCTTGCTATTGCACACAGCAGTCTCTCCAGCTGGGGAACTCACTCACAACCCAGAAAGTACACCAGAAACCATGGAGGGTGCTGCATGCTAGCTGGCTAGCTCACTGGCTGGCTGAATCAGCTTACCCTTCTGATAGAGCCCAGGGCCATCTGCCCATCAATTAACAAGTCTAGACAGTCCCTCCCAGACAAGCCTACTGACCTGACAAAGACCGACCTGAGACTTCCCCCAGTGGATTCTAGGCTGTGTCTGTGCTAATGAGGACAACATCACTACCCACCAGAAGACTTGTTTAAGAACTGCCAAATGGTGAAATCCTATTTTCTAAAAGCTCATGTTTCTCTTATAGTTTATGATATTCTTGATATTTCAGTTTTTGCCAACAGAAAATCAGAATGATCAAGCAGAAGACATGTCTGTCCTTTTTTAAGTTATCCTTTACCAAGTCTGTGGTAAAGGGTCATTTGTTCATAAGCAAACGTAAATTTCCTTTGGCAAATATAAGTGGTTCCATGCTTGGGTAGAAAGGCAGTTATCACAGGATGAATACACAAGAGTGCTGTGTATACGCAGGAACGCAGGCTGGCCGGCTGCCTCAGAGCTGCTGTTGGAACAGTTAGCTTTCTCCAGTACCCTTGACATTTGCCCCACCCCCTTTTCTTGTGCTGGAGATGGAACCCAGGGCCGGTGCACACTCAGCACACTCTAAGCTGTGTCCTGCTGTCCTCTCTTGCTTACTGCTGGGCAAGCCAGTGAGACACTGGGTGCCATCTTTCCCTGCTCTGTTGATCATGGACTCCCCCTCCCCTTTAAAATTCATCTGCCTCCTTTCCATTCTGCTTTCCTTCTAATACCCTTACTCTTTTCTGCTTTTATTATCTCCCTCCCTCCTTCTTCAGGAGAATCAGCGCCTTCAGCAGAAAGTAGACACCGTGACAAAAGAGGTGTTTGACCTCCAAGAGACCCTGCTGTGGAAAGATAAAATGATTGGGGTATGACAGGAGGTGGGGCTTTGGAGAAGTTCATTCCTGAGGAATAGACCAAGAAAATTTAGGCAATGTGAATAAACAGAAGACAGAGACTTCTCTAGGAAGCCCTGGTAGTGTGCCTAGAGAGAACTGCTCTTTCCAGACTCCATGCTTGTGGCGCTCATAATAGAAACCTTTAAAAGAAGTGTTCTTTATGCCCCAAGGATTCTTATCCCAGAGCAACCACAGGCATCTAATTCGAGTTCTGTGGGTATCTGGCTATGTTTATGTTGCAGAAGTATGGATTAAAAAAGAAGCTGGAGGTGGAGATGGGGAAAATGTTATCTTGTAAATTGTTGGTGAATGAAGTAGGAGGAGATTACAAATCAGTTCAGTTATAGAAACGGATAGGAATGTAAGATGTAGGGCTGCCAAACTGTGACACCTTCTCTCATTCCAACCCAGCACTCCCCAGCATGGGGCCTGGTAAGGCAAACAAATGCCTCCTCCACTGCTGCTTTGTTTAGTGCTGAAGGCACAGGCCAGCCATGCTGGGGGGCAGCAAAACTAGTCATATTCCTACTTCCATAGGGCAGAAATTTAAAGAACAAAAGGAACTTTTAGATAATTTTCTGAAGCTTAAGTTCCCAAATTTCCAAACTTCCATCAAAAACTAGAAAACTTCCAGGGACATTACAGTTGTGAGTTACTTAATTTATATACATTTTTACTTGAGAAATTGAAGTGATATAGAGGAGTGGGTGCACAGAGTAGGCAGCTTGTTGAGGAAAAGTTTGAAATGTACATACTGTCTGGGATGGCGGTCTCATGAGTCAGGAGACCTGGGGCTTCTCATTTGTCTGTCTTTCTTAGCATTTTAAACTGGTTATCCTGGACTAGCTGACTAGCTAGAATAAAACTACACACCCCATAAAATAGCTCATTAAAACAGATCTTGGTTTTCTTACTAAAAAGACATGCCAGTGTTGGTTGTAGTGGCACATGTCTTTGATCCCCGAACTTGGAGGAAGAGGCAGGTAGGTGGCTCTCATGAGTTCTAGGCCAGCCAGGATTATACAGTGTGACCTGTCTCAAAAAGAAAATTATAAATGTACATGTTGATGGCTAAGATATAAAATACTTGGCTTTTAACTGTCTGAGGATTTATTGAATTTTTTTGTAAGATCTATTTAACTTAAGAGTAAACTTTTACAAACTGCCGAGATAGCTCAGTGGGTAGAGGGCCTGCCTTGCTTGTATGATGCATTGACTTTGATGCAGAACCCCCCTAAAGGTGGGAGGAGAGAAGAGACTTCACAAGTGGTCCTCTATCTTGATTGTGTGTGTCGACTCATACATCATATACATAATAATAAATACTTTTTAAAAAATAAATGTTAATTTTGAGGAAAGTTAAGATTCACATGCAAGTGTAAGAAACAGTAGCAAGATATCCCCATGTGCCCTTTGCTCAAAAATGTCGTATCTTGCAATGGTGTAGGACGGTATTACAGCCAAGGACATGTCTGTGGTACAGTAAGGATAAAGGTACTTCCATTTCTCCTTTTTATAGATACCCCTTCTTCAACTGGCCTCCAGCCCTCAGAGCCACTCTGTAATTTTGCCATTTTAAAAATTTTGTAGCTGGGTGGTGGCAGTGCACATCTTTATCCCAGTATTTGGGAGGCAGAGGCAGGTAGAGGCAAGCCTGGTCTACAGAGAGAGTTCCAGGACAGCCAGGGCTACACAGAGAACTCTGTAAAAACAAAAACAAAACAACAACAACAACAAAAAACCCCAAATAAACAAAAGAATGTTGTATAGATATAAACCTACAGTGTATAGTTTTAGATTTAGTTTTTTTCATTCAGCATTACTCAAAAAATTTATCTGTATGTAACAGTAGTTTATCCTTCCCTTAGCTTTTCTTTAATTGTGCTTATTACAAACCATAATTTATAATAATCTTTACAGTTAGACAGTTCAGTGGAGTTAAAGTCACCCATATTGGTATGTACTATTTTCATCCTCTCCAGCTAATGTACCCACTGCGCAGTGCCATCCACATCACCCCTGCCAACCACTGTTCCACTCTTGTCTCCAGGTTACTACTCTAGGTTCCTCAATGAGGTGGACTCATAGCACTTCATGGCTGCTCTGTTACAGCAGCACAATATCCTGAGCTTTATTATCAGCATTGAAGTATGTGTCAGGATGAATGAATCTGTGTACGAGTGTGTGTGTGTGTGTGTGTGTGTGTGTGTGTGTGTGTGAGAGAGAGAGAGAGAGAGAGAGAGAGAGAGGAGAGAGAGAGTGAGTTCAGGATGACCCTCCCATTTCCTCCTGAGTTCTGGGGTCCAAGCATTCCTCACCCACACTCAGCAAATGTCCTTACTTTTTGAAGCTAAATGGACATGTGTTTCCCATTTCTCTCTTTATGAACACCTGGATGCAGGTGTCCACCCCTGCCTGTTGTGAGCAGGGCTGCTGTGGATGTGCTGAGCAGCTATCTCAATGCTGCTCTGACTGAAGGTATCGGGTGTCCAACCAAAAGTGGAATTGCTAAGTTATTTAGCAACTTGGGTGATTTTGAGGACTAGCCCGTTCTGTATCCATAGCAACGCTGCCCTTACACATTCCCCTCAGCAATGAGCAAAGGATGGAATTTCTCCACTTCCTCACCAACACCTGTTACTTCTCCTAGCTGACGTTCTCGTGTCATTTGTTTTTTCTTCTCCCAGTCTGAGGAACAGAACCCTGGAGCTCACACCTGATAGGCAGATGCTCTACTACTGAGCTACATCTCTGGATTGGATTGTTTTGTTTTGATTTGAGACAGAGTCTGTGTAGAGCAGGCTGAATCCAGCATCCCCAGCTTCCCATTTACTTCTGAATTGGTTGCTTCCGGCACCTAATTCGTCACTCAGCTCCAGCTTCATTTTCAAGAATAAAATCTAATAACTTAAGAAACAAGCCCCAGGCTGAAACTGAGTTTCTTCACTTTCCTTTGGTGACATCAGTTCCCTTATCGCTGGCTTCTTGCAGTTCTCTCTAGGTATTCAGCATAGAGCAGGCAGTGGATAGAGAAGGGCCTGAGCTCTGGCAGCTCAGTGACTCCCATTCTCCGTAACTGCAGTTATTTCACCCGTGGCCTGGCATTCCAGCCTCTGCTCTTTAAATTCTGCCTCAGAGGCTATTGCTGCCTGCGGCACAGGGCGGTGGTCATGCGGTCAGGCTACAGAGGACTTCAGAACTAGAACAAATGTGTTTGACCCAATTATAAAGTATTTCAGTAGCTTTCAAGCTTTGTGGTGAAATATACAAATATACAGGATATATTTTATTTTTATATCTGTAATTATGAAATTTTAAGATCGAATAGTAAAACAAGAATCCAGTACTATAATTGTAGAAGGAGGAACAAAGGCCATGTACTGGTGTTTGCTAGAATTCTTAACTTGAGATTGGTCTATTCCTGAGGGGTCTTTTGTATTCAGTGGTATTATTGACACAGTATATTATAAAAGTGATCACCTCCTCAGCTTAATGTCGTGATTACAGCACAACTGCATGCCACGCTTCTGTAACACGCATCTAACCTGTGCCCGTAACACACATCTAATCTACATGGTTCAGGTGACATAGGGAATGTTCCTGTGCTTGTTCTAATGTTGCATCGCTTGTTAAGTTGGTTAACACTAGCCACAGATATTAAAAGCTTCAGAATCTGGACTCTCAAGTCACTTTCCAGGTACTTGGAGATACATTCGATGTATGAATTTTTATCACTTACGGAAAGGAAGTTAGGTTTAAACATTGCATTGTAAAAAATGAGCAGAGGGCTTGCCTAAGGAATATGTCCCCAGCATTATGTGGGATGACCATGAAGGACCAGAATGCAGCCTGTATGCAAGGGCTTTAGAGCCAGAGTGAAGTGAACTCATCTTCTGTAACTTTAGACGGGGAGCTAGGAAGCGCATCAAAGGGTGCAAGGGTGCCTCGCCACCACATCTGTGTGTGCTGTTGCAGCCAGTTCTTACTTGTTCCCAATTTTGTCACAGAGTAGGATTATAATGGTTTTTATAAAAGTTACTCAGTCAGTGCCAGACATGTTGACACATGCCTGTAATCCCACTGTAGGTGGACACTGCAGGACCAGGAGTTCAAAGTCAACCTTAACTACATAGCAAGTTGAAGGCCAGCCTAGGCAATATGAGACCCTCTGTTCAGCAACATGGATAACCACTAAACACTTTTCTAGCCATTAGTTACTATCTCTTGACCTGGTGATGAAAAAGTTACAATTTAACTTATTGGGCTAATGCTGGAGGAAACATTAAATGCAGGAGAAAAAATAACGGAAGGGTTCTGGTAAAACCAGCACTGCCACCAGGTTACTGTGCACCTGCTTTCCATCTTGGTGTTTGAGCGTGATTTCAGATTCCTCATTGGTGACCAAAATAGGTCCCTCCTCTGCCTGTGCTGCTTTCCTGAAGGCTCTGATGCAGGAAATAAGGAGACTCTGAGCAATGCCCACATGCCTTTCCCAGACCCTCAGGGTAACTTGCCAGTGTGAGCAGTGCTCCAGGCCCAGTGTGCCTCCTGAGTGGGAGGTTTCCTGTTGTCAGATGGGTAGATTCTCGTGTGTTAAGTCCCCAAAGCTAGATTTGAACCCCTAACCCGTTACCCAGCTTGGCTAGTGTTCCTTCTGTGTTTATTTGGCTTTCTCATTTTATCAATATTAACTAATTTTTATCAGAAAACCAATTAACATAGCAAGTTGTGGAGAATCCCTTTGGAGATGAGCTGACTTGGGTCACTTGGTAGCAGAGAACCTTGTCAACACTGGAGAACAACCAAACAGCCAGTATTTAAATAACTTATCCAGACTTTCTCTTCTTCCCAAACTGTCTTTATTTTTTAAAATCAAGCATATTCTTAACTACTTTGTTAAAGATGAAACAGATGTGTTGGGTTATTTTGTTGTTCACCAAATGAAAATGAACTGAGGAAGACAGGCAGGAACTTTTTGTCTGTAAAAATGTTCTTCATGTGATGAGCACGTCTGGCCAAGTTCATGCATGAGCTCTTCTTCTGTTTAAACCCACGTGCAGCTGTGCAGTCTTCTCCCCTTGCCTGGCCGCGGTTTCCACACTCTGACTCTGCGTGTAGGCCTCACCTGCCATTGGATTAGTCACCTTTCTCTTGCTCTTTTTCTGTGCTGTTCTTTCCCTGCTACCCTGCCTAAAACCAGGCCCTAGAGAAACAGAAAGAGTACATTACCTGCCTCAGGAGTGAGCGAGATGTGCTCAGAGAGGAGCTGCCTGACCTACAGGAGACAGTGCCGACAGCAGAGGTATGTCAGCCTGGGCCTTCTTCCCCTGCTCTGCCTTCTTTCTCTCCTAACCATAAACAACAGCCTTGATATGCTGGCGGATTGAGCTGTTTCCTCCACAGAGGTATATCATAAAGCTAATTCTAACTAGTTTCTACACATGGCAAACAAACATTGTCAACAAACATTGTCGCAGAGATGCCTCAACAGAACTTAGAGTTTCTGTGTGGGTTACTGCTTGTAACTAAGTTTTTTCTTTTCCACAGAAACATGGCTTAGTTATAATCCCAGACAGCACTCCCAATGGTGATGTCAATCATGAACCTGTGGTTGGAGCCATTACTGCTGTGTCTCAGGAAGCGGCTCAGGTCTTGGAGTCAGCAGGAGAAGGGCCACTAGGTGAGAGACTGCTTGCTGTTTAGTTTTGGATTAATGTTGGGCTTCTAGCTGAGGGTGGGGGTGAGGAGCAGTATATGGGCTATTCAGACAAGAATCTTGATCTTGGGAACAGAAATGGAGTCACCCCGTGGGTTAGCACTGGTGGAAGCACTGCAGGTGCACATACACATCGCCTTCCACTTACAACAGACTTGGTCCAGAGTCCAGCATGCCCATCCCAGGGGAGCTCAGGCCTGGTGGGGACTTGCTAGCCTGTGGTTAGCTTCTTCCTGGCCCACCTGTCCTCTGAAGATAACTGGAAAAGCTTAGACATTTTTTTGCAACAACAGCAAAATGGTTCCCCTGGACCCCACTTTGTTTCTAGGCAGAAAGTCACTACTCTGGGAGCAGATGCTGTATTTGGTGTCACAACTGTCATGGACTGGAAGTATAGTTAGGAGGATAAAGGATTCCTTTGATTGCATAAAGCCTTTGCCTCTTTTCATGTTCACAATGTAAACAATGTAATTTAGGAGATGTTGGCTATTTGTGAGTCCAGTTTACAGCTTCCCCCCTTGTTCCAGATGTAAGGCTACGGAAACTTGCTGGCGAAAAGGAGGAGCTCCTGTCACAGGTAAGCTGTCTGCTCATCCGAAACCACTGATTCATCTAAGATAGGCAGTAAAATGCTAATAAATGAATGTTCATTAGAAATTCAAAAAATTGCTGGATATGGTGGCACATGCCTTTAGTCCCAGCACTCAGGAGGCAAGAAGCAGATGGATCTCTGTGAGTTTGAAGCTAGCCTAGTCTACATAGTGAGTTCCAGGACAGCCTGAGCAATATAAGATTTTTTTAAAAATATTTATTTATTTATTTATTTATTTATTTATTTATTATGTATACAAATTCTGTGTATATGCCTGCAGGCCAGAAGAGGGCACCAGACCCCATTACAGATGGTTGTGAGCCATCATGTGGTTGCTGGGAATTGAACTCAGGACCTTTGGAAGAGCAGGCAGTGCTCTTAACCTCTGAGCCAGCTCTCCAGCCCGCAATATAAGATTTGAAGAAAAAAAAAAAGAAATATATTTCTTAACTTTAGTACTGAAGGGACATTTAAAGGAAGAAAATCTAACTCATATTGTCTTTAAAAATGTAGAGGATGCACACAAAGCTTGTTGCTCAGCCCTTCCACTCTCACCCTGACCATCTTCCCTTAGTGTGAACCATGCTGACTTGATGCTGCTATTTTGTTGGATTCCTCTGTGAAAGACAGACCTCTGCCGCACTTGTGCTTACTTCCTGTTCCTGTAGCCTCTTAATGGCCAGTCTGTTTCAATCTGCAGGACCCCACAGGGAGCCATTCTGTCTTCTGGTGGCTTTTCTTTTTGTTCCATATGCCTGGTTTTCTTGTGTTTATCATAAAGTTAGCCCCTGTTTTAAGCCCACTCAGGTTTTCTGTCCTATTTTTTCTAGTATCTTGAAATCTCACAGTGATGTATTCAAAAATGTTCAAGCATCAGTGCAGCCCACGTCAATTCTAGGAACTTCTAATCCTTAGTTTGGAAAACCTTGAGTGGTTGTTACTCACTCTTTCCCTTACTCCTGTTCAGTCAGTAAGCAAATGGCAAATAATATTCCGCTGTTTAATACATTACTCATGGCATGTAGGAAATTTGGATGAATAATCAGATTGTTGTGGGTTTATTTGAAAAATCCATGCCTTGTACGTCTTCTCTCTCTCTCCTCTCCTTTCTTCTCCTCTCCTCTCCTTTTCCCTTCCCCTCCATAACTCACTAAATAAATATCCAGCCTCACTCTGCGTGGCATGCCTATCCATGTCTCTGTCTCTCACCTGCAGCTGCTTGCTGCTTGTCTCGTGGCGTGCCCATCTGTCTGTCTCTCCTTGTGGGCCTGCTGCAGCCACTCAGGGAACTGCACCGTCCCTGCCTGGGACTGGCTGCTCTCAGGACCTGCTGCCCACTGCTGCCACTCGGAGACCTGCAGTGTTTCTGCCACTGTAGCTGCCAGGGATCCTGCCGCGTTTTTAATTAATCCATTATAGCCAGGACAGGTTCTATGCTACAAAGAGAAACCCTGTCTTGAAAACCAAAAGGGGGTGGTGGGCATGGGATCAGGTTGAACCTGGAAGTTAAGCTGAATGAGCAGTGTTGGGAAGATGTCAAAGTAGAGATCAGATGTAGTAAAAAAAAAAAAAAAAAAAAAGATAGATCAGTGACTGGAAGTGAGTGTGGCTGAATGATGTCAGGATTAGGGTATTGTAGCATGAATAATAAAAACCCAGAGACAGATATTGGGGTTCAATCTGAAGACCAGAAAAGCAAAACAGTCAATCACTAGAGAGACCTTTTATCTGCCAAATCCACAGGGCGAGATCATGTCTCCATGGATCCTCAGACTCCACACTCCAGTGAGCTCCTGTCTCCTCCCCTTTATATTCCTCTCTCCATATCCAAACTGTTTCCACCTCCCTATTGCTGGGATTAAAGGTGTGTGACTCCCAAACATTGGGATTAAAGGTGTGAGCCACTACCATCTGCATCTTTTTCTGGGTCAATTTTGTGTAGCTCAGGGTAGCCTTGAACTCTTGGAGATCAAGCTGACTCTGTCTCTCAAGTCCTAGGATTAAAAAGTATGTGCTGTCAGAGACCAGCTTCAACAAAAATACCATTTACCAGGGTCGAGGATTAGAAAAATGTTAAGTAGGAGGAACAGAGATTAGAAAGAATCACTAAGACACAGGATAGTAACAAGAGGGCAACTCAGCAAATACTGAATGCTGACTACACCTGTAGTTATTTTCCACACACTTCTATGCCCGCCCATACAAAAAGGGGAAGAAAACAAAAAAACTGCATGATACAAAGAACAACTCAGACAGTAACTCGCTTCATCGAGTCATTGATTTTTGACAAAATCATTCTGTTGTTTAGGCAGTGAACCCACCCAAGACTCAAAAGGAGAAGTATGCTTGAATTTCCTGACTGTTGGTTGGGGGGTGGGGAGTGGATCTACCAGTGTGGGCCATCTCAATGTCAAAAGGACCAAGTAACCACACCCTAGGTCAGGGTAACCCCAGTTGTTGTCAACAATTTTGACTTTTGACCTTTAGACAAGGTAGAAATAGGCTCATTTTTGGGCCTCTACAGTGTGCCACCACTCCCTGGCCTCTGTTGGCTTAGCTTTGCACTCTGATCCCCAGGCAAGCTTTATTAAATACAAATAAAATACCACTACAGGGTACAGAGAGAATGAACGGAGTGCTCAGAAGTCATGGATACTGTATGTGAAGCTAAATAATCTAGGGAGTATGGCCATCTAAGGTTGAAATATGTTACTATATGTTAAATGAAGGCCAAGAGCAAAAAGAGGTAGACAGCAGGATCCTTGAAGGGGAGGTGCTCCAGAAACTGGGATGCATTGTGGGAGCATGTCCTACTCTAGACGTGTACTAAAATGGCCGAGATAGGGGTTAGTTTGGGGAGTGCAAGTCAGGAGCTAACATGACAGAGGCACAGTACACTAGAGAGTATGTGAGGTAGTTAGAGATGAGCCTCAACAGGTGAGAATGGGGACTTCTAGGGAGTATGAGCATAGCATAGATCAGCAACAGCAAGGAAAGTTGGAGAGCACTGTTCATTTCTTGACTGAGGTAGGAGCCTGGGAAGACAAAAGCAGCAGTGTGCAGTGGGGCTGCAGGAACTGCAGGGAGCAGCAGTGTGCAGTGGGGCTGCAGGAACTGCAGGGAACAGCAGTGCACAGTGCAGATACAGGAACTGCAGGGAGCAGCAGTGCACAGTGGGGCTACAGGAACTGCAGGCTCTGTGAGAGTCCTGAGGTTAAAAAGTGTACCTAGATAAAGTTACTGCAGGAGCATCAGCTAATGGCAGGCTGATGCTTCCAGAGGCATTGGGGAAGTTTGTGTGTATGGAGGGTAAAGTTAGGCATGGTGCAGGACCTTTGGGGAAGAGTGCTAAAGAAGAGGGATGCTCCTTTTGGGGTGTGATAGGAATGATGGGATGATAACCAAATTCTCCCAAGACAAACCCATGTGTGCAGAAGGCAGAGGTGCTTGGGAAGTGTGCATTCATTGAGTCTGAAATCAGCCTTGCCCAGCCCACTAGACGTTGGCAAAGCTAGTGCTCATCTTCCTTCTAGTCCCTAGCAGCAGAGCTAAGGGCACTGGGAGAGCCAGCCACTTGTGCTTCCAATTAATTTGAATAGTAAGAGTTCTCTAAGTATTCAACTTATCTCTAAAAAACTAGACAAAAATCCTATCTACCCATGAAAAATATGTATTGTTGTATAGATATACACAAGTAATGAAGAGTAGAAGTCTTTATTGGGATACCTGGCTTCTGAGGCTCATTCCTTTCTGTTTATATCAGTTTCTATTGAATGCCTAGAGCCATTTTTCTCATAGAAAAAAAAACTGTTTGATTTGTATGACTTGCTAATAATAATACGGACCTGCTTTGTTGTGTGTTATGGCCACTGGACCTGTTACCTCCATTACTTAAAGAGAATTGGTGTTGGGAACTGGTCAAAGTTGCTACAGCACTTGCTGCGCAAACGTGTCCTAAATGTGAATTCCCAGTAGTAGGCACTGCAGGAAGTCTCTGTAATCCCAGCATTGGAAAGGTAGACATAGGAGGAGGTTCACTGGAGCTTACTGGTCAGCCATGCAGGCCAAACTTAATCAATTTGGCTTCAGACTTGGTGAGATCCATATCTCAAAAATAACATGAAGAACAACTGAGGAAAGGATCTGATGTAGACCCCTGACCTCCATATATTCATGGACACATAAAAGTTAAAGACACTTATCCTCAATCCAGGCCTGGTGACACAGGTCCTGCAATCACAACTACTTGGGAGGCTGAGGAAGGAGACTCACAAGCTCAAGGTCTGTCTGGGCTAGAGTGAGTGCAAGGCCAGCCTGGGCAGCTTAGTGAGGACCTATTTCAAAGTAAAGAGAGGGATATGGCTAAACTCTGTGCTTGTGTTTGCTTAGCATGCTGGAGTCCTTGGGCTTCACCCCAGTATCATCAAAGAAAGAGACAGAGATTGAGACAGACACTGACCTCACTGGTGACTTCTACTTCCATTTCAGGTTAGAAGACTGAAGCTGCAGATAGAGGAAGAACGGCAGAAGTCTTCAAGGAATGACGGCACGTCTGGGGACCTGGCGGGACTGCAGAATGGCTCAGATTTGCAGTTCATCGAGATGCAGAGTAGGTACCAGGGTACAGGACAGTCTGAACTGGTATGTAGCATGTATTCCTGGAATAAGTTGGATGTGGGCTATTGGAGTCCAGGAAGAGTGGTCCTGGCCACTTAGGAGCTGTTAAACAGGGATCTACTCACCTGTGAGTCCTAGGGATGGCATGGGCCAGTCGCTGCCTGCATATGATGCCTGAGCTCCTGTGTGAACCCCTCTTCCATTTAAGCTTTTCTTTGAAATTCATTTTGGAAAATTGAAGATTTGAGGCCGGCTCACTAATATTGAGTTTCTGAAATTTCCTAGTTTTTAACAAAGATTCACCTTTATATGAAATTGAAACCTAGGCTACCAAATAGTCTGTTTACACAAATTATGTTTCCTTTACCTTTCTACTCTTCATCCCGTGTTGTTGGTTTGTTTGAGACAGGGTGTTTCTACGTAGTCCTGGCTGACCTGAACTCACTCTGTAGACCAGGCTTGCCTAGAACTCACAGAGATCCACATGCCTCTGCCTCTCAAGTGCTGGGATTAAAGGTGTGTGCCACCATGCTTGGCTATGTGCTGTATTCACCCTAAATCCCACAGTACAGTTGTCCTCAAATCTATTCGTATTACACTTTCCCTGTTGGTAGTGATGTGTAACTTACAATAAGGAGCTTTTATTTTAGTTTGTAATTTGTAGAAGCTTTACTGGTAATGCACTTTAAAATCTTGGCTATTTGTGATCTTTTCATATTGACAATTGGGCTTAGGGTGAATGGCGGGACTTGGGGGTTGAAGCTTATTGGTAACAACTTGTGTGGACTTCAGGTCCCCCATATTCCTTGATGAATAGTTTGTTCTAGAACACCTCATTGGTGTGGTGGGACAGAAAGGTGACAGAATGTGGGGAGGCTAGTTAGTATGGTGAACTTGATCAGTATAGCGTTGCCAGGAGTCCCAGAGGGCACAAGTAGGTTTTGAAAGATTGCAAAGGCAGCGAATTTGAAAGGAGCCAAGTTGAGGAGGAACAGGCTAACTTTTTGTGACTTCTTCCTAGAACCTAGCCTCTAATGATTTGTAGCTATACCCATAACATCACCGTGCAATTGAAAAGCATTTGTCTAGCTAGGTAGTGGTGGCACATGCCTTTAATCCCAGCACTTGGGAGGCAGATGCAGGTGGATCTCTGTGAATTTGAGACCAGCCTGGTCTACAAGAGCTAGTTCCAGGACAGGCTACAAAGCTACAGAGAAACCTTGTCTCAAAAAAAAAAAAAAAAAAGGAAAGAAAAAAAGCATACACTGCAAAGCATTTGGCTAGGTCCATAGATTTACGGGTACTAAAGCAGGACCTCTCTTTATATACACAAACAGTATTACAGAGCACAGTTGTTATAAGAGAGTGCTACAGTTCTCTAGAGTCATGGAAATGAGTGCATCTTACTGGACTGATGAGTCAGGGTGTGAGAGAGCAGAAACACTGCCTGGGAGCTGGAAGGCACAGGGCTGGGTTCAGAGATGCAGGGGGCCATTGCCACCCTGTGAGCTTCCTTTCTCAACACTGTTCACAGGCATCTAGAGCAGACCCACTGTGACCCTTTAATACACTTCCTCATGTTGTGGCTACTTCAGCACTGTAATTTTGCTACTGCTATGACTCATAATATAAGTATCTGATATGTGACCTCAAGAGAGGTCGCAGTCCACAGGTTAAGAACCCACTGATCTAGAGGGAAAGAAGAACTTTGCTTCTAACTCTTGGTCTCAGGGACACTGCTGAGCAGAGGTGCAGGAGCTTCTTGCAGTACAGAGTCTAGAACCTGAACTGCATGTCCTCTGTATGCTACTTCACAACGTCATCTCTGGAGATCAGTGTAATTCATTATTATCTTCTGTTTTAGGAGATGCCAATAGACAAATTAGTGAATACAAATTCAAGCTTTCCAAAGCAGAACAGGACATAACCACCTTGGAACAAAGTGTAAGTATTTCTGTGAGGCGCCAAATGATTCAGATGCCATTAAATGCTACCAAATGTCTCAACCTCTTGCATCAAAGTAGCTAGACCTTTGAATTTCTGTGGGTGGCCCTGGTGGCTTGGTCTCTTCAAAAGCTCTGCATTACAGTTGCCGTAATTCAGCTTTGTTTCTGTTCTAAAGACAGAGGATTAGGCCATCAGGATGGCACAGCAGAGTTTGATCCCCAGGACCCACATGGCAGTGGACAACCTTTTCCCACATGTTGTTTTCTTATCTTTTCCTTGTTAGGATTTCTATTGCTGTGCTGAAACACCAAGACCAAAAGAAAATTGGGAAGGGAAGGGTTTATTTTCTCACATTTCCATATAACAGGTCATCATCAAAGCAGTGAGGGCAGGAACTCAGGCAGGGCAGAAAACCGGAGGCAGAAGCCATGAGGAGTGCTGCTTACTGGCTTGTTCTTCATGGCTTGTTTAGCCTGCTTTCTTATAGAAACCAGGACCGATTGCCCAGGGATGGAACCACCCACAATGGGCTGGACTCCTCCCAATCAATCACTAATTAAGAAAAATGCCCAGCTGGTCACTGGTGGTAAACACCTTTTAATTCCAGCACCCAGGAGTCGGAGGCAGGTAGATTTCTGAGGACAGCCTGGTCTACAGAGTAAGTTCCAGGACAGCCAGGACTATACAGAGAAACCCTGTCTTGATCAAAAAGAGAGAGAGAGAAAGAGAAAGAGAGAGGGGTGGGGGAGAGGAAATGCCCTATAATAGGCTTGCCTACAGCCTACAGCTGTATCTTACCGACATTTTCTCAGGTGACGCTCCCTCTTCTCAGATGACTTGAGCTTGTATCAATTTTGTTTACTGAGGTTTCTGTCCTGCCCAGTTCTTGCAATCTTTAAGTCCCAAAGAAATCACACAGAAGTCTATATTAGTTATAAACTGATTGGGCTAGTAGCTCAGACTTCTTATTAAGTCTTACAACTTATATTAGTTCATTATTCTTGTCTGTGTTAGCCATGTGGCTCGGTACCTTATTCAGCAAGCAGTCACATCTTGTTGCTTCTGTGGCTAGGTCAGAACTGTGGAAATGAGCCTTCCTCTTCCCAGAATTCTCCTGTTCTTGTTGCCCCACCTATACTTCCTGCCTGGCTACTGGCCAGTCAGCATTTTATTAAAATACAATTGACAGGGTACAAACCATTGTCCCACAGTACTCCCCCCTTTAAAAAACAAAACAAAAACTCTGAATCTAATATCCTTTGTTTAGCTTTTCTCCTGACCATTATTCATAACAACTTATAACCAATATTCTAAACAAAGGAAAATATCCATATTCCATTTTTTGGGAATGTGGGTGCAGTTTTCCAGGCTACTTCCTGCTGCTTGGGGGCACTGATAATCTTATGGGGACCTAAAGAAAATTTAGAATTATAATCAAGTCATAACTGGAGTATCCTGTGAGGCTTGATTTTCTCAGGCAGCAGTCTTTAAACTGAGTTTGGATGTAGAACTCAGACATCTGGGCTATCCCAGAGGTAATCACATCTTGCTTCTTCTGTGTCTGGATCACAACTGCTGACTAAGCTTTCCTCTTTCCTGAATTCTCTTGTTCTCATTGCCCTGCCTCTACTTCCTGTCTGGTTGTCCCGCCTATACTTCCTGCCTGGCTACTGACCAATCAGCATTTATTTATAATATAAGTGACAAGATACAGACCATTGTCCCATAGCACTTCCCTCCTTTTAAAAAAAACAAAACAAGAGCCTGGCAGTGGTGGCGCAGGCCTTTAATCCCAGCACTCGGGAGGCAGAGGCAGGCGGATCTCTGAGTTCAAGGCCAGCCTGGTCTACAAGAGCCAGTTCCAGGACAGGAACCAAAAAGCTACGGAGAAACCCTGTCTCGAAAAAATAAAATTAAAAAAAAAAAAAAAAAAACAAGAACTCAGACATCTGGGCTATCTGTTTCTACCAGAGATTTCTCAGGTGGTCTTCCTTGATCAAACCTGATTTTTCTTAATTCAGAATAAATCCTCAGCCTCGGGGTACAGACCATTGTCCCACAGCACAATTTGACATAAAACAAACACAGACCTCTATGTGCACACAGTAAATAAACAGGTATAATTTTTTAAAAAACTACTTTGCAGCTGTCTTTTTTTTTTTAATGCTATTTCTAGAGAATTTAAAAACAGGGTCTCTTTAGAAAAATATCCCTTCATGTACATTTCAAAAGCCTATAGACTTAAAATGGGAAATTGGCCTTCTAGTGACTGACTGCAACTGTACTTCTCCTGGGACCCTTGGCTCCCCAGTGGCTCTGAGTTTCCTCTTGGATGGCGAGCAGTGGCAAACCCCAGTGGCCTGTGTGCTCCTATTCACAGGTCAGCCGGCTTGAGGGCCAGGTGCTGCGCTACAGAACTGCCGCTGAGAATGCAGAGAAAATCGAAGATGAGCTGAAAGCAGAAAAGAGGAAGCTGCAGCGAGAGGTATTGTGTTCGCATGCGTGCTCCTGAAAGAAGTTCTGTGGGAAATTCACAATGAATGTCAGTCAAGTGTGGTGACACGCCTTTAATCCCAGCACTTGGGATGCGGAGGCAGGCGGTTCTCTGTTAGTTTGAGGGCAGCCTGGTCTACATAATGAGGTCTAGGCCAGCCATGGATGCACAATGCGACCCTGTGTCAAATAACCAAAACCCAAAAGACCTGGTGAAGAAACCTAGAGCTGCTTGACCTTCACACAAGCTTTGGACCTGCACAGTGGCTGCCATTGACTTTTTTTGGTAAGGCAGGAAAAAAATAATATATTTTTGGGTTTTGCTTCAGATAACATCAGTTTTCTACAGCTTTTACACATTTTATTTTGTGTTTTAAACAATCCCCAGCACCACGGTTTAGGCCTCTAGCTGCCTGGAGAAGGGTGGCAGCTGTTTGAGGACCCCAGACATGGCTGCCATTTTTAGCAGAGACAGAAAGGAAAGGATGTTGGGCTTTCCCTGGCCACATAAAGTGACTGTGTTCTTTGTCTCCAGCTACGGACAGCACTGGACAAAATCGAGGAGATGGAGATGACCAATAGTCACCTGGCAAAGCGGCTGGAGAAGATGAAGGCCAACAGGACGGCCCTTCTAGCCCAGCAGTAGGGGAAGGACCTTCTGCCTGGGTGCTGCTCCAAGGGCCCTGCCCAGAGATACTGACTCTTTGTATATTGACACAAAGCTTTTCGAGTACTGTTTGAGTCTTGTCATTAAACAGCCACCTTTGTATTTTATAATTTATGAGAATGAAGCAGGTCTAATTGTCATGAATTTGGATTTTGTTTGTAGTTCACTGCTAGCGTGAGAACTAGTCTGTGCTGTTTTATTTTTAATTTTCAACATCCTAGAATCATGTTTTCTCACCATCTTCCTCCAGCTGCCTCATTGACTGGGCACGTGGGAGGCTGTGGTGTGGGTCTGGAGGATGGCCGTTCTGAGTGCTGAGACACTTGCTGGAGACCTCAAAACACAAGTGCCTTCTCCACGGTGTGATCCACGCTTCAGAGACCAAGTGGCCAAGATTCCTACTCTTCTCCCAGAGCATTTATATTTCAGTGAGGAAGTATTCAGGGGTGGGGAGTCTGTGTTTCGATCAAATTTATGTTTGGAGAAAAAAGGCCTTTTTTTTGTAAGATATTTAAATTTATATAAAAATGTTAGAAAAGATATGGGGAGTGTATATTAAACTTGATTGCATGGGGTAGAGGAAGTCTAGACTTTTACTCTTAAGATTAAGAGTAGGGTCCTTAGTCTCCGTATCCACTGTGCTGTTCCTTGTAGTTTCATCTGCTGCTGATTTGTGAAATGAAACCTCAGACAAGCTTGAGGGGTGAGGGAGGTACAGTACAGGCAGGTAGGGAATCTGCCTGAAGAACTATTAAACACACCGTCTGCCAACCAGGATTGGCGGACACAGTCATTGTTACTGAAGCTTTTTAGGACAAATCATGGCAACCATGTACAGTCCTGTCTTGCCTTCTTCTTTTCTCAAGACGAGATAATCCAGAACATAGAACTTTTTAAGTTTTTTGAGAGACAGCATCTATGTAGCCCAGGTTGGCCTCCACCTCATAGTTGTCATCCTTGGGCCTTTTGGGTGCTGGGATTCCATTCATTGCCTGGCTCTAGAATAAACATGCCTAAGAACTTGCATTTCATCTTTAAAGAGACCAATTCAAGATAGCTCCCTCCCCTACCATAGCCACTTCACAGGGTTTGTGATTCTCTTTTGTCAGAATCAAGGTGGTCTCATGGGAATAATTACTGTAGCTCAAAGTGTTTACAAAGAAACTATATTGAGGAAGTCTAATGAATCAAAGCCTCTTAATAAATCTAGACTTGGAACTAGATAATAAAGTTAACTAAAAAGTGAGTGATAGTTGTTCCCTTCTTTAGTCACTAGCCCTTCATTTTTAGGGAATGGAAACTGTCCTGAGCTGAGAGCGCCCTGTGCATGTCCTAACAGGAACTACAGGTGTGTGGGTGGGGCAGGGATGCTACACTTAAGTGATCCAACCCTTCACATGGAGAAGGTACCCATCCTGGGTACTGAGACTCTCCTGAGAAGCCCTGGCCCTAGCCCTTGTTACTTTAGTTTTTTCCAATTGAAATGGCTCTATTTCTTCATGATATGTTGTTTCCCCTGGAACCTTCTTCATTGCTTCCTGTGGTCTGTGCTTTACTTTAAACCCTGAGGCATCAGTCCTTGGGCCGAGTGCTATATTTTTCTGAGGCAGGGTTGACCTTAGTAGCTTATCTGGGCATTGAAGAAGAGCTCTATCCTTATTACTGGTTTTAGAGCCCTTGCCAACTCCCAGTGGACTAGATTTGACCACCTACCCCAGCAAGTCACCACAGTTAAGCAGTAACTGTGAAGGCAAAGATTCACTTCCTGTGACCGTGTTGGTAAGAACAGATACCAGTTCTGGAATCCCAAATTAATTTTCCAAGTGTTAATGGTGTGAAGGAGGGAGGAAAGGAGACAATTGGGGTATGCACTGCTGATGTTGGCAGGCCAGTGGTCTGACTGGTAATTAAGTCCAGGTCCCATGAAAGGCTCTGGAGAAGTGCTGGTGACATCTCTTGATGGTTTCCATTGACATCATTTCCCACTCCGAGGTGCAGCCTTGACCTTGGCAGTACTTTCTCATTTTGAGGGATAATCTGTGCTATGAATGTTACTTTGGGAGGCACCGGTCCTGTTATTCCTCAATTCCAAAGTAACTCCAAAACACAATGACTCTGGAGGGAAAAGATAAAGCCAGAGAGGGGCAAAATAGTAGCTGAAGTCAGTGTCTCTTTTGCTTCCCCAGAATCCTCCAAATAAGAACACCTAGAAATATATTCAGAGCCACTAAGGGGGCTAGTTTAAAATACTGGGCAAGAATGCGTTAAATTTTGTCCCTAATAATAAATTAGCCTTGACTATGAACAGTAAGTCTCAGCTCAAGCTTTCTCCAGTCAATACCAACGCTATTAACATATTGCATTAGTAACTATCTTTTCTTACTGTTGACCAAATACCCGACATTGGATGGATTTATCTTGGCTCACAGTTTAAGAGTATCGCCCATGACAGGAAAGGTGTGGAAGAATTCATGGGCAGGATTTGGCAGATGGTTCTCAAGCAGGAAGCCTTTTACTTGGCATTCTGTTCACACTTTTTTCAAGTCTTGGATATCAACATGTAGGAGTTTCATTGAGTGGACCCTCAGGGCACATTTGCCAGTGCCCAGTACAAAGCGTAAGGTCTCTAGCTATGTTCATCTCTAACAATTACAGATACTCTGTCTGCACGCTCCTTTTCTGCAACTCTAAACATGCTCACACTCTGTTCATGTTTTCTTGCAGTTGACCGCATAGTTCTCATCTTTCTGCTCGAAATGTCATTATCAACCTCAATAAATACAGTGATAACCAAGCCACCACCCAAAGGTTAAGCTGACTTGAAACTGTCTCTGCCAAATAACTTAATCCATTACCTTTGAATTCAGTCTTACTTAAGGACACCAGAAAAGACAGCCAGGTCTTTGCCAGAATGCAAATCAGAATAGCCTAGATCCCACTAGTCTTTGTTCCCTTCTCAAACCACGTGAGCCATGTCCCCACTGGCTGCATTTCTTCTAATTCCCACCAGACTCACCCATGAAGTTCTGATTACAGTATTCCAGAGCTCCCCAGCCTGGAACTCCAAACTTTTCTGCATTCCTCTTGTACACCTGTTTAAAGCTTATAAATCACGTGACAAGCTTATCATAGCAGCATCCCTTGGTTGTCCATACCAGTAACTTTTAGACAGGTTCTTACAGAAACAGAATTCATGGGATGTATAAAAGGGATTTACAAAGAAAGGACTGAGCAGTACAAGGATGGCTGTCTGCAAGTTGGAGGGTAGAAAACTTGGTAGCTGCTCAGTTCATAAGGCTGGATGCCTTACTACACCCAATCTGGCATCAAAAGCCTAGGAGATCCCTAGAGAGGAGTCTTAGTATTGTGTCCACCTTGGAAGGCTGAAGAATTTCAGAGTCTGATGGCAGCGTCAATGAAGGATACAGGCAGGTGTACACTTTTTCTGGTATCTGGACTACTGGAAGTTGCTCTTGCTGCCCACTTAGAGGGTGTCTTCCCCAACCAATTATCTGCCCCGGAAGCACTGTCACAGACACACCGAAGTGTCTTTCCTAGGTACTCTAAACCCAGTCAAGTTGACAAGACCATCAGGACTTTGTGAAGCAGGGTCTTGCTCTGCAGTGCAGTCTCCATTGACCTGGAACTTAGTATGTAGCCCAGGCTTGCCTCAAGCGCACAGATCCACTTGCTTCTGCCTCCGTGTGCTGGCATCAAGGCGTGTATCACCATATCTTTAGGATTTTTTTTTTTTTAAAGCAAAGCTGGAGTTTATTAAGGGATGGGTACTGAGGGAGGAGATGTGCAGGGAACCCAAGACATGGACTTCTCAAAATTGCTGTTCTAGGGCTTCCTTTAAAAGGAATTTCACACTCGGGAGGCAGAGGCAGGCGGATCTCTGTGAGTTCGAAACCAGCCTGGTCTACAAGAGCTAGTTCCAGGACAGGCTCCAAAACCACAGAGAAACCCTGTCTCGAAAAACCAAAAAAAAAAAAAAAAAAAAAAAAAAAAAAAAGGAATTTCAACTAATGCAACTTAGGGTATCTGATAATAAATTTCCAGAATAAAAACATTATAGCATGGTTTCAGAAAACTTCAAGAGATTTTTTAAGAGTGTATGTAAAAATGCCTTCTGAGGTGCCTAGGGCTTTTTTGAGTCTTCAACACAACCCAGTATATACTAGGTGAAATCATCTTAGTTTCCAATGTGAAGTTACACACTAAAAAAAAAAAAAAAAAAATCACATCAAGCAAGACACACGTGAGTTTATTTGCAGTCAATCCACACATGAAGGCAAATGAGAATTTTTAACATTAAGTTATAGCAACAACGCTGGGATACAAAGCATGAGCAGCGAGCACTGGAAACCCTGGAGCACACCAGCTGCCCTGTGGCTTCCTCATCTGTAGAACATGCTTCGTCTTGAACAGTGGATGCACAGTCACTAAGGTGGCTACGGCCATATTTAACACCTCTCAAAGACTTTGTACAGATCTGGCAGGTTGGCAAGTTGCAGGACATTTCCATCCTCTGTGAAATGCTTCGGAGGTAGAAGGTGTGAGCGGAAGGCTTTATAGATAATGTGTTCCACGGTCCACTTCCAGGGCTTTGGGGTAGAGCCAGGCATGTCACTCTGGAAAACACATGCAATGCATTTATCTCCGCACACACTGGCTTTCCCACTGACATGATAGGCACTGGGCCTGGAAGGGTCTTAGTGGTGTGTGTAATGGGGCTTCTGTAGGACAGTCTTGAGGATCCCACAGGTCTGAGCAGAAGAAGCAGAGTTCGTGAAGAAAAGAAACTTGAGGGACCACTGCCTACATTTTTGTTTCCACCGCGGTGGATCTAACATTTCCGAGCCTGGTTCCTGGTTCGTAACTCGACAGCAAACGTGGAGTGTCTTAAAGTGGCGCTGCTCTGACACCCCAAGGAGGATAAACCTGCCTCACCATGGCTCCTCTTCGTGTAAGCCTTGGCTGCCCCATGTATGTGTTCTTTTCCGTCTGCTGTCTGGTTCCTATCAAATCAACTTAGAACAGTTTGTGTGTCCACTTCCCCACCAGGGTGAGAGAATTCTTGGGGTCTCCGCAGGAACCAGGGCTAACTTCTGTTCCACCACTGTAAA